TGTGTTGTTATACCATTGTCCAGGTCAGGGGAGGGTTGAAGGATCACAAATAAGTTTAACCCCTCCAAATTCTGTATATGTCTGTCCAAAATCAGGAGCCTGCAATTAAGTGGTCGTCGTTGGTTGCTGTCTGTTGTATCTGGTTTTTTTTGTTGCACGAACGGTGGTATATTTTTGTTGTCGTTCTCACCGATCGTGAGGGATTTAGGTCGAAAACATCATACAAGACTTTTGATGTGCCATATTCTGGGTGTGAAACAAAACCAACCGATTTGATTCTTATACTACAATTATAACAAACTATTTATTCAATAAAAAGTTTAGTTTTGAAAAACAGACACAAAACAGATTTCTCCGAATAAAGTGACAATCTACAAAGTTAGCTGGCTATTCGCAACAAATAAATCAACCACACAAAAAGCAAAAAAGACAAATGTTTTGAGTGACCTCTGTCCTTGTTAATGACCTAATAGTGTAAGCAACAAAATGATATAATGGCACGAGATAATCCGTGTTTAATCAATACCAAAATGTTGACTTAATTTGTGTTTTTAATTGCTAATTTCTTCAAAATGATTTTTTTATTTCACGCATGCAATTTGGCACACACATGCACTGTGTCTTATTGCTTAAATCAGAGTAAAAAATATTGTGATGATACACGTAATAATTTTGCTTTCGATGAAAATAGGGTAAATTTCAGGTAAAATTTTACTCTTACTAAAATGCTGAAATACTTATATCAAAATCACTTAAATACTTTCCGATTTCGTTATATGATATATCTAATATATAAACTATATTATAGGTACTGTTTTAACTACCAACAAAGAACGCAATAATTTTATTTTTCATGTTAAAGATTCCCCGTACAATACGGTATCTGGTGGTACCCTGTAAAAACACGAAATTTAGAAAATCGTGACCACGGGAACTTACGACAACAATCATGATTGTAAAATATAATGATTTTCCTATAATGTGCAAAAAAATCAGCCGTGTGTTATCCGTTAACTTAAACTCGTTAACTAGAGGACTTTTTGGACATTGGGCACCCTACTAATACATTCAACTTCAATCTTAATTGACTAAATTGTCAGCTTTCCTGCCAAAGTTCAGCAGTTCTCTGTGGGCTCTCTAGCTTCCTCCACCAATAAAAACTGATGGCCATGATACAGCCAAGAATGCTGAAAGTGGTGTTAAACACCAACAATCAATCAACATCAATCAACTTATTTGTTTTGCATACCAATATATCGTTCCTCATACCTTAATATTAAAAATTGACTGTCATGATACTGACAATTAATCCAGTAAAGGTCAATAACTGGATCAAATTCTATATCACGTTTGAAATATAACTTTTACATGTTCAATCTGAGGGCAAGAATCATGTGTTGATATACACGTGAGAAGCAGTACAAATTACTTCCTAAATAGCAAATAATATCAAATTAATAACAAGTTTGCAAGAAAAATGATACCAAACACATGGTTGAAATTGGTATATCATATATCATTAACACGTTATCAGACGTAATTATCTGAGGTGAAACCTGGTCATCTGTTCTATAGGGATATAACTGGGAAAATGTATTTATTTATACAACAATTTAAATTCATTAAACTAATAACCTGATAAAGGTAGCAGTTAGGAAAAATAATTAAACAAGCATTCTGAGAGTATTGCATGGCAATACATAATCCCCTACTGGTTAAGAATTCATTGTACTGGAACAAAATGCTAACTTGATCTATAACTTGTCATGATGTAAACTATATAAAAAATATCAAGTCAATATCTTCAAGCATGACGAAAAAAAGTGTGGAAACTGATTATTTCAGTGAATTTTCTCAGTCCAAGGACCATAACTCTGCATAAAATCATCAGACCGGAACAACAGTTCGAACTTGATCTGTAACTTGTCATGATAAAACTAAATACCAATTATTAAATCAATATCTTTATTCATGACAAAAAAAAGTGTTGAAAACTTATTATTTGAGTGAATTTTCTAAGTCCAAGGACCATAACTCTGCACAAAATCATCAGACCGGAACATAATTCGAAATTGATCTGTAACTTGTCTTGATAACTCTATATACCAAATTACAAATCAATATCTTCAAGCACGAAGAAAACTAGAGGCTCTCAAGAGCCTGTGTTGCTCACCTGATTCTAATTTGGTTTTGGAAATCATGTAAAAATAGATTAAAATCATAACAGATACCCTAATAATGAGTGAGGCCAAATTTGGTTTAATATTGGTCCTGAAATTTAATAAAAAATCCTGGTGGCCATCTTGAACAGTAAATCAGCAACAAAGTAGCAACACTTCATCAGCACCTCATAAGAATCATTTATGCTATGTTTGGTTTCATTCCATTCAGTGTACCTCTAGAAGAAGCATTTGTATGTATTTCCCATAGGGTCTTATGTTAAAGCAAGTCCCCCTGCTGGCGGCCATCATGGATGAAGGAACAGCTTCAAAGTAACAATACTTAGTCAGCACTTCATAAGGAACATTCATGCCATGTTTGGTTTCAATCCATTCAGTATGTGGTTCTCTAAAAGAAGACATTTGTATGTATTGTCCATAGGGTCCTTTGTTAAAGATTGTCCCAAGCTGGCGGCCATCTTGGATGATGGATCAGCTTCAAAGTAACAACCCTTGGTCAGCACTTCATAAGGAACATTCATGCCATGTTTGGCTTCATTCCATTCAGTGGTTCTCTAAAAGAGCACATTTGTATGTATTTCCCTTAGAGTCCTATGTTAAACTAAGTTCCCCAGCTGGCGGCCATCTTGGATTATGGATTGGCTTCAAAGTAACAACTCTTGGTCAGCACCTCATAAGGAACATTCATGCCATGTTTGGTTTTATTCCATTCAGTGGTTCTCTAAAAGAAGACATTTGTATGTATTTCCCATAGGGTCTTATGTTAAACTAAGTCCCCTGCTGGCAGCCACCTTGGATTATGGATCGGCTTCAAAGTAACAACACTTGGTCAGCACCTCATAAGGAACATTAATGCTATGTTTGGTTTCATTCCATTCAGTGGTTCTCTAGAGAAGACATTTGTATGTATTTCTCATAGGGTCCTATGTTAAACTAAGTCCCCCTCTGGCGGCCATCTTGGATTATGGATCGGCTACAAAGTAACAACACTTGGTCAGCACCTCATAAGGAACATTCTTGCCATGTTTGGTTTCATTCACTTCAGTGGTTCTCTAGAAGAAGTTCAAAATGTAAAAAGTTAACGACGAAAACGGACACCGGACGCCAAGTGATGAGAAAAGTGTGGAAAACTGATTTGCTGGACTGACGGATGGACAGACAGACAGACAGACAGAGTGCAAACCTAAAGTCTCCTTCAACTTCGTCGGTAGGGGACTAAAAATTGACCCTCATAAATTTCACCATCCTCTTTTCCTTGCTTTCTTACAAAGTGAGCTTACTGTTTGTGTCATATATGTGCATATATATATGTAATCAGTATCTTTCTTTGCATTTGTTTGCTATATAATATTGCAAAAAGGGGTGTAAATATTTCACATATTTCCCCAAAATTTGATCAAAAGTAGAATTTCAATCCCTTGGAATGATACCTTTTCTGAAACTTTTTACATGTATATATCAAGTGATGAAATAAAAATCATCTATAAAAATAAGAAGATGTGGTATGATTGCCAAGAAGACAATTCTCTAGCAGAGACCAAATGCTGAGAAATTAAACAACACTTTCATCTCATTTTTATGTAAAATTGCATTGAAAGTTCCTGTGAAATAAAACGTTTGTAAACATTACCATGAAAATACAGACTGTCTAACAGAAAAAAGCCCATAAAACATACAAAAAACAATCTTGGTGTTCGTATAAACCCACTTTGAAGGGTAATATTATTATTCTCCAGCTATCTAAAAATTAATTCTATTGCACAATAATTTTCATATTAGATAAATCCATGGATGCCAAAATGCAAAACCCCACTCCTAACTGTGTATTGCTACCTTATGCTTAAACAATAAATGAAAATTATTTGTATTATAAGCAAATAAAGACTCCTGGTATCCTGATTCTATGTTGGGCAAACAGTAATTTTAAATAACAGTTTACATCACACTTCGTTTTGAAACCTCTTCGTAGTCCGTTATAAAGCCAATTGTCAACTTCTATAAATAACTAGGCCAATGTATAGAAAAGTGTCATGTGATACAACTTTTTCAACCTCCACATTGAAACATTAACTGTACCAGAACTTTCCTATTGAGGTGTAATACCACTAAAGCATAGTACATCACATCCAGTTTCATGTTGAAAAAGAGTTGTAAAAAAATATTCCCTTGAATTTGATAGTTGTAGGAAATTAACCCTGAATTTCATTGCAGAAATTTTTTTCTGAGTCATAAACATATATCTTGAGTGTTTTAAAGCACCATTTTTTTTTTTCGTGTTCCAATAAAATATTTTTGGAAACTAGAGGTGACCTGGTTACTCAAGCTTATAAACAGGGAAAAAAAACGATGAAAAGTTGCTTGGTTTACTTCCGATGATAGTTAAATATTTTTTTATATGTAACAAAATGTTGTGTGAAATTTTTACTGTAGTACTGGACAGTATAATACTTCATGCCAAATATTTCTTTATTTGAAACAAAGTAAATAGTGTGTAATTTCTAGAAAAATACCAATTTAACATAGATTTATAGGGGAAAACAACGGTGGTATTACCCCTCCATACTACAAGTACCAAACGTATAAGCAGAAAGCTGAATTCTTCTCCTATAAAGTAATAAAGCTATCGTCCAAAGTCACCCTTTCAACTAGCAAGTCATCTACATGCAAAGGAAGAAATCAGATATTTTTAAAAATAAATGATCAATTAAATTCTTGCCCTGAAAAATAAACTTCCTCATGTAATTTCTTTCACTAGCAAGATGTTAGATCTCTACATGCAAAGGGAGGAAGGAAGTGATTAAAAAACCAAGATGTAATTACCTGTCCATGGTTCATCTTCTGTCAAAATTAAACCTTGATGAAATGTTGTACTTGGCAGATTTATACAGTAAATTAATTAATAACAATGAAGATAAAGCCAAATTTCATTTTTCTCCCAAAAGTGTATACATGTATTTATATTCTATTTCAATTTCTGTAAATTCAGAAATAATTGCATACTTTAAATAACTGCAATATTTGAAGAATGTACAAAAATGTGAGATTAATTATTGCGATTTTGGGAAAAGCTGCATACAGATATATGTATAAGATATCTGAATGCGAGTTCTTATTTCTGCGATTCTCACCCTGTTGTATTATTCGCTTACTCGCAATAATTTCTGAATCTCTGACTTTTATTCTTTCAGTTATAACAATGAAGTAAAGCCAATTTTGATTTTTCTCCTAAAAGTACATTTTTAAATTCTATTTCAATTACCTGTGAGCATGCTGGTCTTATTCATCATAGAGGACAAAATCAGGAAAGGAATATTTTAAGAACTGAAATAATATTTACTTCTAACAGAAAAAGATAAGGCTGTTTATGACCAGTAAAAACATACCATTGAAGTATATTATCTGACCAAGGAGAACAACATTATACTTTTATTAACTAGTTTCTATTGTTCTTTTAATTATACAGACCTGCCAACTTTCCCACTTTATAGGGAATATCCCCAATGAGAGGTGTTGACCTGACCGTTATAAAACTCAATTATTTGGACTAAATACTCTTAAAGACATTCAGAGGAGTAAAAATTACATTTTAACACACGCATACTCATTGAAAACCATAGATGTTCTAAATTAAGTACACTAATGACCTGTATAGGTATGAATTAGGTCTTCTTGTGTTTAAAATCCACATTGAGTTTATGAAAAGTTGGCAAATATGATGATAGATATTTTATTGCTACTCCATTCACTAAGATGGAGAGACAGGTGAAGATTTTGTGGTAAGTAGGTTAGATTGATAAATATTCTACCTGTTGTTGATGCTTAGCAAAAAAAATCTTTTAGATACACAGAACATCTGTCAATCAAATTGCAGTTTCAGAATGTATTCTGGGTGATATTTTCAAAAATAGTACACCAGAATGTTTTCATTGGTTAACAACATTCCTTAACAATGGATATTTAACTAATGGCATACTGTTATGTTCATTATTCAAATGATGAACTTTCAATAATTTATCAAGTGACTTAGGAGTGGACCAATAACCTCAAACTTCTGAAAGTGAGAAGAAAAAAAAAGATATTTTCAATAGTCCGTATTCTTCCATTTTTCGTTTTCTTTTCAAAAAAATTTTAATCTTTCAAAGAAAAGGAGGGGGGGGGGGGCTCCTACACAAGAGGTATCTATACTGTTTGAAAATCAGAATAATATGGGCAGCTATATGAATTCTGACATTTCTTTCACATTCATAATCATTTACTTCCTAAAATGAAAGAACAAAATGGCTATATTTGATAGATAATTCTACGAAGTCAGAAATTCAATATCATGAATTAGCATGATTAATTGGTTCTATATTTCTTTCTATTCTGAAAATTTAGTGTCTATTTTTGAAGAAACAGCATTCTTAATATAAAAATCACTGAGATTATTTACCTCTTTGTATTTTTATTGCACTATCTGTCTTAAATTTAACTTCTTTCTGCTTTTTCTGTTTTTCCTTTTCTTCACGTTCCCTTCTAGCCTCCTCCTCAGCTATTTTCCTTTCCTCTTCCTGTCGTTTTCTTTCTTCTTCTAGCCTCTGCTTTTTTTCTCTCTCAATTCTCTGTTGCTCAGCCAATAAAAGTCCATCTAACCTTTTCTTTTCAGCTAAAAGATGTTTACGTTCTTTTATAGCAGCATAACTCCTATATTTACTTTGGATTACAACTGCAGCAGCCTCCATTTGTCTCCTATGTTCCTTTATTTTTGGTTGAATTTTTTTCCTGGCCATAAAACCTTTCACAGCTAAAAGTAACAAAATATAATCCAGTCTCAAATCAAAATACACTTGTAAGAGACACTGTAAACCAACTGATTTTCGTGGATACTTATTTTTGTGTTTAATCTTTTCTAAAACATCTCCTTTGCATGGATACTTTTTTTTTGCGTTTAATCCTTTCAAAAACATCTCCATTGTGTTTTATTTTTGCCATTTTTTTAAAACCTTTTTTGAAGTATTTTGTATGAGAATATCCAAGCTGGACATACTGGCATCGTTTTTCTTCTCGTTAAAGTCGTGTTTATAAATTGCTCATAAAAATTAGATGTATATCCTTTTTAGGTAGGATAGATTGATGGACTGATTAAAATGTCCAGCTAAAAATATTAGTGCTTATTCATTAAACATAGACCATGTTAGAGGGTCATAATGTGGGTACCTTCTTGACAAATAACGGTAAAAAGTCTTGCCAAATGATGTTAACGGTAATTTTTGTTGCATGACGATAAAATGTACACTTTCTTTTAGACGTTAAAAAAATCAACTGATTTTGATGAATCACGCTAAATTTTTTCCAAAAATAATGGTAACAATAATTCTTTGATACCTCTGTCGAATCACGATAAGAATATTTTGACGAATCATGGTAAAATTTTAACCAATTTGACGCTAACGGTAGGCGAAAATGGCCGTTTTACGCCTGACGGTAAAGGGCATTCCTACCCTCATGTTAATGCCTTGAACAGGAACTCTGCTTTGTACTAAAACATTACCTGAGTGGGATGTTAGAACATTATTCTTTCCAAGGGAGCAGCCATGAGGGCCTGGATGGGGATTACAGAATAGAGAATAATGAGCCAAAAAAATAATGAATGGAGAAAAATGATCAAATAAGTTAAAGAATAGAGAATAATGCAATGCAAAAGTAGAAAGAATAACTGTGGAAAATAAAAAATTTAGTCAATAAAATATTGATTACAGAAATGAATGATGTACAGAATAAAGAAATTATACAATTACAGAAAAAATTAATAGTAAAATCATTTTCATGAGAATGTTACAGAATAAGCATTATTTTTAAAAAGAAAAATCCCCTAAAAAATGAATGAATACAGAAATAAAAGACCCCCAACCCAACCCTCAGTCATCATTCAGGAAGACACCTGAAACCCAATTCCTATACTTTTTTAAGCTGACTTATAATAGCCAACTGTAGATGTCTTTTCTTTGACGGTATATTTCAACTTACAATTTTGAACTATAACAGCCATCTGTACAAACTAACATTTTTTACAATACTTATAAGCCACCTACAGTCAGTCTTTTGCAATTTGACAGAAGTTACATTTTTGAACTATAATAGCAACCTGTAGTTAGCTTTACTTTGACTATATGATAAAATTTTTTCATTTTTTTACAATAATAACCATCTGTAGTCCTGTTTTTTTTTTGATTGTGTAACTAAAATTACATATTTGAACTACAAAAGCAATCTTTTGAAGTCCTTTCTTGGACTGTTTTTAAAAACATACACATGTAGTCTATTTTTTTGAACAATTATAAGTCTGTAGTTGTCCATTTTTCATTGAAATGTAATAGCAGCTTTTGTTACCTTTCACCTTTTTTCATTGAAATGTAATAGCAGCCTTTGTTACCTTTCACCTTTTTTCATTGAAATGTAATAGCAGCTTTTGTTACCTTTCACTTTTGGTTTTTTAAATGCTCTTCAACTATTTTGATTCATTCACCAATGATAAGTCTTACGTACAATGTAGATGAAACTTGTGTCTTGCGTACCACTTTATTAGCCTAGTATCTTTGACATGTTTTTACTGCCTGTGAGAACTTACATTTTTGGACTAAAATAGCAGCTTGTAGTCGTCTTTTCTTTGATTGCATGTAACCTTTTCTTGCATTAACCATTCTGGCAACTACAAAATATTTTTTTACACATGTTTATGTTTTTTGTTATTATAAAGTTTTGTTGTGATGGCAAATCTTGATAGTCTATCTTTAAGTATATTCACTACGTTTAAAATCTCAAGGTTTAGAGAGGGGGCCTCGGTGGCCAAGTGGTCTAAGTAGTTACTACTGTAATCACTAGCCAGTCAACACTGAGGTTGTGAGTTCGAACCCTGCTCGTGCTGGTGCCCTCGACTCCAATCTTAATTGACTAGGATTGTCAGTTTTCCTATCAAAGGTCTGTGGTTTTCTCCGGGGACTCCGGCTTCCTCCACCAATAAAAACTGGCCGCCACGAAAAAGCCCAAAAGCGGCGTTAAAACACCAAAAATCAAAATCAAATCAAGGATAAGAGCTTGAATTATTGGGCTGCATTAACTAGTGAATATAACTGAAATATATCCAATCAAACAAACATGTTTTTATCATTATTTTGAAATTGCACAAATTGAGTTTATTTTTCTACAAATCAAATAGTTTTATTATACTGACATTTACCTTTTTTATTTTTTATAATGAAAAACATTATGTATGGATCATAGGCATATTTTAACAACAAAGGCAGGATATCAGTCCCATCCAACTTTTGTAAGGTCATGAGCTGGGCATGATATCCATGTCACTCCCTGATTTACATATGCAGGCCGTTATACGGCCATACTTCGTTAACATTTTCCAACGAAATCCACAAACATTGATAGCTCATGCATAATAATGAAACTACAGCATTAGAAGAAGGTCACAGTAGCCTTATTTTTTTTAAGTAGGTCACAATAGCTTACATGACTGTATCTTGACAACTGCTTTCTCTCTCTGCCATTTCAATTTGAGGAACTTGTTCTGTGCCTGCCACATTCTAACTGCAGACTGAATTACTATCACTTTCTTGTTTCTTTCCTCAAATATCCTGGCCAGCTGTTCCATGTGGTAGTACTTCAAAAATACCTGATAAAATTAAGCATTTCATTTACTATTCAAATACCCTGCCCAGCTGTGTCATATGATAGTACTGAAAAGATATACATTTATTTATTCAATGAAAAATTTTCTTAATTTTTTATTTCTCGCTATGGGCCCATCATGGTTTTCAAATTATTTGTTAAATTCTGGGATGAAGCCATTGGTAGCCTGAGAGTTGACACCATAGAAATCTACTAATTAAGACATAAAACTTCAAAGAGAGAATGAGGTCAGTAAAGAAATTAAGGTGAAAGGTTAAAATTGGAAGTTTTTTCCAAAGTGATTTTGTCAAAAGACTGGGTTTGAAATGAAATGAAATGGGCATCTCTCAGCCAAATATTAAACAGACAAATTTGGTGATTTGGATGGAAAAAAACCCTTTGAAAACTATGGTTCCAAATAGCAAATTAGTCTTTGATATAAATTTTTTAAAAGACATCCAATTTAACTGGTTCTTACGGCCAGTTGAGCTAAAGAAGAAAGAGATCCCGTATTTTTAACAAGAAATGATTGTAACAGGATGCTGTTACAAAGTCTCCCAAACGAAGCTCCCATAATTCGTAATTCCCAGGGTCGTCTGACATTGGGCAAAGTCCAGTGAAAATTGGTTTGGTAAAGTTGTATGCATTAGTGATGCCTGGGGACTAACCCTGTATATCATTCAAATCATCTTGGCATGACAAACCAGAATATATATGGTTTAGGGGTGGGGATCTCGACCACTTACAAGATACTAGAACATTGGGGGTGGGGGGAACCCCTGGGGACTGACCCTATACATCATTCAAATGTTCGAGACATGACGATCAGGAATATATATGGTTTAGGGGTGGGGATCTCGATCATTGACAAGATATTAGAACATTGGGGGTGGGGGTGGGGGGGGGGGGGGGGGGGGGGGGGAACCCCTAGGGACTGACCCTATACATCATTCAAATGTTAGAGACATGAGGAACAGGAATATATATGGTTTAGGGGTGGGGATCTCAACCATTTACAAGATATTAGAACATTGGGGGTGGGGGAACCCCTGGGGACTGACCCTATACATCATTCAAATGTTCAAGATATGACGAAAAGGAATAGATTTGGTTTAGGGGTGGGGATCTCAACCAATTACAAGATATTAAAATTTCTCAAATGGCAGGGGGTTGGGGATGACCCCTGGGGACTAACCCAGTATATCATTCAAACCATCTTTGCATGACAAACCAGAATATATATGGTTTAGGGGTGGGGATCTTGACCACTTACAAGATATTAGAACTTTCTCAAATGGCAGGGGGTGGGAGATGACCCCTGGGGACTAACCCTGTATATTTTCAAACCATCTTTGCAAGACAAACCAGAATATATATGGTTTAGGGGTGGGGATCTTGACCACTTACAAGATATTAGAACTTTCTTAAATGGCAGGGGTATGGGGTGACCCTGGGGGACTAACCCTGTACAACATTCAAACCATCTTTGCATGACTAACCAGAATATATATGGTTTAGGGGTGGGGATCTCGACCACTTACAAGATATTAGAACTTTCTTAAATTGCAGGGGGTGGGGGTGACCCCTGGGGACTAACCCTGTATTTAATTTGATTTGCTTTATAATGACAAACCAGAATATATATGGTTTAGGGGTGGGGATCTCAACCATTTACAAGATATTAGAACTTTCTCAAATGGCAGGGGGTCGGGATGACCCCTGGGGACTAACCCTGTATATCATTCAAACCATCTTAGCATGACAAACCAGAATATATATGGTTTAGGGGTGGGGATCTTGACCACTTACAAGATATTAGAACTTTCTTAAATGACAGGGGGTGGGGGTGACCCCTGGAGACTAACCCTGTATTTCATTTGATTTGCTTTATAATGACAAACCAGAATATATATGGTTTAGGGGTGGGGATCTTGACCATTTATAAGATATTAGAACTTTCTCAAATGGCAGGGGGTCAGGATGACCCCTGGGGACTAACCCTGTATATCATTCAAACCATCTTAGCATGACAAACCAGAATATATATGGTTTAGGGTTGGGGATCTTGACCACTTACAAGATATAAGAACTTTCTTAAATGGCAGGGGGTGGGGTGACCCCTGGAGACTAACCCTGTATTTCATTTGATTTGCTTTATAATGACAAACCAGAATATATATGGTTTAGGGGTGGGGATCTTGACCATTTACAAGATATTAGAACTTTCTCAAATGGCAGGGGGTTGGGATGACCCCTGGGGACTAACCCTGTATATCATTCAAACCATCTTAGCATGACAAACCAGAATATATATGGTTTAGGGGTGGGGATCTTGACCACTTACAAGGTATTAGAACTTTCTTAAATGGCAGGGGGTGGGGGTGACCCCTGGGGTCTAACCCTGTATTTCATTTAATGTGTTTTATCATTTAGAACATTTTCAATTAAAAAGATTGTGTCTATCACAAACGGTTTTCAATTTATAATCATTTGAAAATTAAAAAAAATAAAATCCCATAGGGTTCTATTGTAAAACCCTCCTTTCTTTTCGCCCCTCAAAGTACCCCTTTATAAACCCTATTGCACAAACAAAACCCTGATTGCACCACTAGACATGTTAGTCTAACATATTGTGAAATCCTAAGTTAATCTGACAAGCGGTTTTGGAGAACGGGTGCGGACAAGTTCAAATTTAAAAGTGGCGGAAGAGGAAGAGGAAGAAGAATAATAATAATAATAAGAACTGAGCAAAAACAATAAGTCTTCCCAAACTTCGTTTGGGAGACTTAATAACAGGTCATGCCATTTAAAACTTCTTTATCATGAAACATTTATCATTCACTATTCACATGTCTTAGAGCATTACTCACTATGTGGTATAACAAAAGTTCAAAACCTTTCAAAGTGTGATTTTTATTCTAATAACCACTGTCTACCAACCTAATAAATTTATTTGACATTTGAAAATTTTTACCTGTTAATATACCCGCAAACAAATTCAAACTTTACGTTGCAATTTAAATGTCGTTTGGTAATATTACATTTTAGTGACAAACAATCAAATTGCTATTGACATTAATGAAAAAAATGTTTCAAATAGATTTATTAACTGTGAATTCATTATTATTATTATTTATGGGATATCAAAGGAGTAGGAGCAATAAGGCCCTTATTTGACCCAAATATTTGTGCAAATTTAAAAGTTATCATACATATTCCTAAATTGTTCCTAACTAAACTAAGGTACAAGGTATTCAGAAAATAGACAAATTCCACATTTAACAAGTTACCATGGCAACAAACCATGACGAAACTTGTGTATTTTGTAAAAATTTTTGATTTCCCTTGTTTTTCATCAAATTTTAAGTATATTTTAGATTGGCAAAGTATGTGCGCACCCAAGAAACAACTTTATATTTGGCGAGATTATGCCAATAGTTATAATAAGGCTGCTCTTAAATTTTCATGTTGTTTCTTGTCTGCACACGATGTTTCCACAATGGAAATAACAACGGAAAACTGCATAAAGTCTGTATTTTTGATCGTTTTCATCCAAACAGTACTCATAATGAGGTAATTGTGACGTCATCGAAAAAAAAATCTCAGGTTTTTCATTTATTTTTCTTCACTCTATGCATTTCCAAACATTATGTGGCAATTTGAAATAGTTGTCAAACATTTTATTTTCTTGGGCCAAAACTGGGCTTTAATGCCCCCACTCCTTTCATGAATTTTGTGGGGATACAGGAACCAAGAATTTAAAGGCTTTACGAAGTATAAATTTGTGGAGCTGGAAAAAAAGAGATCTCTCACTTAGTGTCTCCAACAAGTTGGCAGGTATGTAAACTGTATATGATTTTGGGTCCGTTTGTTGGAATGGAGTAGTTTTCCAATGGCCTTGTTATCTGGTTTTTGATAAACTGTTTTACTCACCTTAGATTTTCCTAGAGCCCAGTTATCCATTTTCAATCTCTCTAACATTCGAAAACAACAGTCTCGGGAATATTCTACTTTTTCTTCATGACCAAATACCAACATATGATATCTGTTTAAGTAGAAATTAATATATAATAGCAAATCATTTGTTTGGAGTCAAATCCATTCTTATAACATTAGATTCATTAAGGCATCATTTGTTAGTGTCTGAGGCATCTGATACTTGTAACAATTTTGAGGACAACAAGAGAAAAATAAATAAGCTGGACATTATTCAATTATATCAGTCAATCACAAAACCCCTGCTGCAAGTATTCAGTTAACAGGAAGTTGATGAGCAATTCACCGTTTTGGAATCTAATGCATTTTGGGTAATATTTTCAAAAATGTACACCAAAATGTTGTGATTGGCTAACAATGTCCTTAACAATGGAAATTCAACCAATGGCTTGAAGTTGTTTTCATTTAAGGGTACGAATAAAATGCTCCGCTGGCATGGGCACAGCTTGATACGACCGCAGAGGTCGAACCCTGATACAGCACTGAATTTGGATTGTGATTAAATATTTGACACAAAATAGGTTTCTGACACAGAATGAATGTGGTCTAAGAACTTAAAATTTTTTAATTTACCTTTTCAAACCATATTATTATTTGCTTTTATATATAAATCAGAAATAACCAATTTAAAATGGAAAATTTTAAAGAAAAAAAAATCCCTCCCCAATTTTTTTGAACCCCCTTATGATTCATCACCCCCAAAATCAATCCCAGCCTTCCCTTTGTGGCATGGTACCTTGCAGTACAATTTCAGAGAGATCCATACACTTGAACACAAGTTATTGTCTGGAAACTAGAAAACGCTTGTTTTTAGGCCCCTTTTTGGCCCCAAATTCCTAAACGTTTAAGGCAATTACCCCCAAACTCAAACCCAGCTTTCCCTTTGTGATATGGAACCTTGTAGTACAATTTCATAAAGATCCATACACTTACACACAAGTTATTGTCCTGAAACTAGAAAAATGCTTGTTTTTGCCCCTTTTTGGCCCCTAATTCCTAAAATTTTGAGGTAATTACCCCCAAAATCAATCCCAGCCTTCCCTTTGTGGTATGGTACCTTGCAGTACAATTTCAAAGAGATCCACACACTTGAACACAAGTTATTGTCTGGAAACTAGAAAAATGCTTGTTTTTAGGCCCCTTTTTGGCCCCAAATTCCTAACCGTTTAAGGCAATTACCCCCAAACTCAATTCCAGCTTTCCCTTTGTGATATGGAACCTTGTAGTACAATTTCAGAAAGATCCATACACTTACACACAAGTTATTATCATGAAACTAGAAAAATGCTTGTTTTTTGCCCATTTTTTGGCCCCTAATTCCTAAAATTTTGAGGCAATTACCCCCAAAATCAATCCCAGCATTCCCTTTGTGATATGGAACTTTGTGGTACAATGTCAGAGAGATCCATACACTAACACACAAGTTATGTCTGGAAGTTACAAAAATGCTTATTTTTGGCCCCTAATTCCTTAACTGTTGGTACCATAACCCCCAAAATCAATCCCAACCTTTCTTTTGTGGAATTGAACCTTATGGTAAAATTTCATAGAGATCCATTCACTTAAACTAAAGTTAGAGTGCGAAAACCAATGTGTCTTCGGACGACGACGACGACGACGACGCCAACGTCATACCAATATACGACCAAAAAATTTTTAATTTTTGCGGTCGTATAAAAATGAAATTACCAACAGACCTTTAAATTCTTAAATGACAAATCAAATTTGATGTGGAAATACATCACAAGGTATGGCATGCTCACATGAAGCTGGATACCAAATTTAAGGAAAAAGTAAAATCACAAAAATACTGAACTCCGAGGAAAATTAAAAAGAAAGTCCCTAATCAAATGGCAAAATCAAAAGCTGAAACACATCAAACGAATGGATAACAACTGTCATATTCCTGACTTGGTACAGGCATTTCCTTATGTAGAAAATGGTGGATTAAACCTGGTTTTATAGCTAGCTAAACCTCTCACTTGTATGACAGTCGCATCAATTTCCATTATATTGACAACGATGCGTGAACAAAACAAACAGACACAATAGGTAAAAATGTCAAAAATAGGGGTGCAGCAGTCAACATTGTGTTATCATCAGGAAGATCTAATTTGTAATTCAAGAGAAAAATGTGACAGAATTTCAAAGACACACGAACAGACAGAGGTCAAGAAGCACATCCCTAAGAGCATGGGAAATGAAATCGACATAACTTATTTATAACAATCAATCGAAACCCTAATGAAAAAATCCAGAAAGAGTTTTGTTACTGTAAATTCAGAAATTTTATTTGCATTTATTATTGCTAATTATTATTAATGTGAGCTTTATATATTATTTTGATTTCAGGAAATGCTACATTGAAATAGTGCTGTTCAAATTTAAATGCAAGTTTGTATTTTTGCGAAACCATTAATAATTTTCACCAAAACAATTTCCCGATAATAAAAACATTGCAAAAATTTCTGAAATAACAGTATAAAGAAAACTGAACATTTTTTTTTTTCCAACCACTGATCAGAAAATTTGGTACCTGTAAAAATTCATTTGAATGAAAAAACAGTAATCAAAAAGATGTCTGTAATGCAAAGATTTTTTTGAAGAAGAAATGATTTGAAATATTTTTATTAGGACATTTTAAATATCAAATTATCACTTCTCTATGCCAGAAGGTCAAAATTTTGGTCTCAAAATTGTCAAATCCTATATAAAACCAATACATACAATGTAACTAAATGAACTTCAAGGCAAATTTAGTCCAAATCCGGATGTTTGTTTCAATTTGAACAATTCACCGTTTCAAAATCTAATGCATTCTGGGTTAATATTTTCAAAAGCGTACACCAAAACGTTGCGATTAGTTAAAAACATCCTAAACAAAAGAAATTCGACCAATGATGTAACATTATTTTCATTTTGGTCTACAAACAATGAAATTATCTTTAGTCCTCTAGATTCAGAAACAGTGAATTGTGAAGTTACTTTATGACTAACTATTGTTGGAAAGGAGTAGGTCCAGTAAAACCTCTTTTTAGCCCCAAAATATAGCAGTTTTACAAAATTGTTAAAATGTAAACTTTTAGCTATTTATTGGAAAGTAGAATACTTCTGCTACATAGATATGGGCTGTGTTTGACAATACAATGCATTCATATCGGGTACTAGCATCATTAATTTATGCTAAATTACTGAAATCTTCACAGTTTTAGCATTTGAGTTAAATTTAAGACGGTTTCCGTCTCAAATGGAATTGGCCGCATTTGTGTTCAATCTTAATATTTAAATGTAAATTGTATTTGATGATAATACATAACATATATAAAGGTTGAGAGTGAACACGGATGAGGCCACTTTCGTTTTTGACAAAAACCATCTGAAAAGCGACATATTATGGCATATTTGATAGATTTTTCATAATTAAGCTTGAATTTGAGCGTCTTTAATGACTAAATCAGTTTAAATCTATCATATAAACTAATTAAATCGACTGAAGTAGACACTTAAGTGTTTAAAAAGTGTCCAAAATCTTTCATCAGATGAACCTGAAATTTGAGGCCAAAATGGGCCCTTACCGGAACCTACTCCTTTAAGTCTAATATTAACCCTTTGTAAACCAAGTACAATAAGTGTTAAGTACAAATTCATGTACTTTTAAGGGGATGAATATAGAAGTAAAAAATATGTTTGTTCAAGATCACACATTTCATTTTCACATCAGAAATAAACACTAGATGTTTGACTGATGTACCTGTATAACACATCTTTTTCTTTTTTATCAGCAAGTGAAACCGACAAACATAGTTCACACTATTCTACAATTTTTTTTTTTAATATTTCACAAAACAAATAAAAAAATATTTTTTACTGTAAAAGTATAACTTTTTGTTTAATTCACACATGTACATAAAACTGATACTGTAAATTTAGAAATTATTGTGTGTGCTTTACATTGCAATTTGCGATTTTTGAACAATGGACAAAAATGTGAGATCAATAATAGACTATTTTTATATTACCGACTTTTGACTCCAAAGTTTATATTTTTTCGACAGGTTACCTACTCTGTGGTAGGACATCCTGGTACCAAGTCAAGTAAGAGCAACGTAAAGAATTAAAATCAATCGGTACAAATTTTGGGGAAAATTAACTGCTCTATATTTTCTTTACACAACAAAATCATTGGAAAACAGTAAACTTTCCCCTCATATTACACTGATTATATGTTTGATTTTACTTATTATGGTTGCTCTTACTTGAGTACCAGGATGTCCAACAACAGAAAATGTAACCTGTCGAAAAATTATATAATTCGGAGTCAAAAGTCGGTAATATGAAAATAGTCTATTGCAATTTCAAAATGTTCAAAAGAAATGCTGCACAAATGCATCAAAATTTAAGTTTTTAGTTTTGCAAAACATATCCCAATTTTGGCAATAATAAAAACATTGCCAAAATTTCTAAATTTATACAATACACTAATTTTAAATGGAAACAAATGTTTATAAATATCTATTTTCGTCATTATCGCTATTTTCTTAAATTTCAGGCACACCCTGTTCCCCCTTTACAAATAGAAACTAGAGGCTCTAAAGAACCTGTGTCGCTCACCTCGGTCTATGTGCATATTCAACAAACGAAGGACACTCTCCAACATTGTAGACAAGAAAAGAATTCATGACAAAAATCTGTTTTGTTGATCTTGTATTGCTGATCATTTAGTAGATCTTGCCTTGCTGATCATTTTTGTGATTAAAAGTTTCTATTTATCTATTATAATTTTTATCATATAAGGCAAAACACAAAAAAAAATGGTAAAATCGTCATTAAATGGCAATAACTACAATAAGGAGTCGTCGGATGATTTCCTCCATATTGTCTTAATTGTAGATCTTATCTTGCTGATAATTTTTGCTTATTTAAGTTTCTATTTATCTATTATAATTTTTAAGATATAAGTCAAAAACGCAAAAAATTTGTAAAATTGTCATCGAAGGGCAATAACTCTAATAAGGAGATGACTGACTATTTCAACTATCAGACTTTTTTTATTGAATTTGTCTTACTAATCATTTTTGCACTTTAAAGTTTCTCTCTATCTATTATAGTTTTCAAGATAATAGGTAAAAATGAAAAAAAATCGTAAAATATGTCATTTAAGGGCAATAACTTCTATAAGAAGTCGTCTGACAGTTTTGACGTATATGGACAATTGGTATAGCTCAATATTCTGAACATTTTTGCTTTGTCAGATTTTCTCTATTTATAATGGTTTTCAAAATAATAGACAAAACTTGCATTTTACCCCTATGTTCTATTTTTAACCATGTCGGCCATCTTGGTTAGCAGGCGGAGTCATTGGACATATTTTTTAAACTAGATACCCCAATGATGATTGTGGCCAAGTAGTTTCAGAGGAGAAGATTTTTGTAAAAGTTAACAGACATTGACGGGCGCTGACGGATGAAGGACGCCAAGTGATTAGAAAAGCTCAGGTGGGCCAGGTGAGCTAAAAAAGAGTACTTACAGGGGTAAATTCAGTAAATAAATATACGTCATCAGGGACCGCCCATTTGGGGGAAGAGCTTTCTGTACAAAACTGAAGTCCTGTGCTCTTCTGATTGGTAGATAATGTTTGTAATAAATAATTTTTGATAGATGGATCAAAACTAGAGTTAAAAAAAATTAAAAAATGAATGCTGAATGTACTAAATTTTTTTACTACAGGGTTGAAAAGTAATGGGGGTCAGTAAAGGAATTAAGTGCGAATCTACAGTGTTTGTAAACAAGGCCATGTGAATGCCCAAAAATGCCGCATGACCCTATGTTTTTATTGTTGCAAAAGATAGGGCTACATTTGTACTTTCATGAATGATATATGAAAGCTTCCAATTTCTAAAGGTAAATCAGGTATAAATTTAATTCAAGACATAGATTAGCATTAAAGTCAATGGGAGATTTTTTACTGAATTTACCCCTATTGGAAAATATGCACTCTGTCACTGTACTTGTTCAAGGCCACACAATAATCACAAAACTCATTTCCTGTAAATATTAATGCAATGGAAACCTTTTGGAACCAGTTAAAGTTGTTTTTATACAAATTTCTATGTTTAACCGCAGCTATCCAGGATGCTCTGAGTGTACTGTGGGAGGAAGCATGGAGTATATGGTAAAAAATCAGTTTTGTGTCCAGATTGAAAGAAACAATAGAAATTACACTTGAGAGTTATGATATTATTAAAAGGCATAAATATTCTCCCCATTTTAAATCACATTTTGCACATATTTCTCCTAATAATGTGTAAAATCATATGGAAAATCAGAATTACCTCCCTTTGACATAGTGTATTTTTTTTAGCTGTGTTCCCCATGTTAAGTTGTAGATCATGTTGTAAATAAGCACTTTTCAAGTATTTTAACACTCGAATAATCTGACCGTATGAAGATATTCATTTATTTTTACATTATTCATTGCGTTTCTTTAAGTAAAAAAAAATACTAGACAACTTTTCATGATTATATACCCTTCATCTATAAAACTAGTGTTGAAATGTTTGTAATTGGATTGCTATGTTAAATAATTGCTTTTTAATATTCTGAATTGTTACTTTTATGTTCCAAATGCAAAGTTTGGTCATACCCAGTCTTATTTTTTTCATATTTGGCACTTTTTTCTACTTCAGTTTTGTCCGTCTAGTTTTGGCGAAGAAACCATCCTGATGTTGGGGTAACAGGAATTTCTGCAGAGTGGTTGACAATGACATTTTGTGAAATTTACAAGTAATTAAAACACAGATTTAGTAAAATGAAACATAATTGTTGTTTTTCATGGTATGAAACTGCTTAAAAAACCTTTGAAAAGTCTTTTTGTGGTCTTTTTCAGGGTATTTAATTAAAATCTTCCATATAAGGCAAAATTTAACTAAGAGTACATCAAGCTGAAGGACGCCTCCGGGTGCGGGAATTTCTCGCTGCATTGAAGACCTGTTGGTGACCTTCTGCTGTTGTCTGTTCTATGGTCGGGTTGTTGTCTCTTTGACACATTCCCCATTTCTATTCTCAATTTTATTTAGTTCCTAGATGTACTTGCAATACTGATCAAAGCAAACACAGAAAACAATTCATATTTATTAAGCATAGTATTTTACACCATTCTTTTAAAAACAGTCAATGTGCAACTTTATATACCAAATATACATTGGCCGCAGTATGGGCTGTAGTATACATTTTCCTCCCTCTTTACAAGTTCAGCCTTTATGAATGTTGTATTAAAACTGGAACTTGAAAATTGGATACATTACATGATTAATACAACAAAAATAGGAAAAGAAGTTAAAAAGTCCCTTATAGGGGTAAATTCAGTAAATAAATATATGTCATCAGGGACCGCCCATTTTGGGGAAGAGCTTTCTGTACAAAACTGAAGTCCTGTGCTCTTCTGATTGGTAGATAATATTTGTAATAAATAATTTTTGATAGATGGATCAAAACTAGAGTTAAAAAAAATTAAAAAATGAATGCTGAATGTACTAAATTTTTTTACTACAGGGTTGAAAAGTAATGGGGGTCAGTAAAGGAATTAAGTGCGAATCTACAGTGTTTGTAAACAAGGCCATGTGAATGCCCAAAAATGCCGCATGACCCTATGTTTTTATTGTTGCAAAAGATAGGGCTACATTTGTACTTTCATGAATGATATATGAAAGCTTCCAATTTCTAAAGGTAAATCAGGTATAAATTTAATTCAAGACATAGATTAGCATTAAAGTCAATGGGAGATTTTTTACTGAATTTACCCCTACAGGTAAAATTACAGAAAATTTTTTGTCAAATGGTCCTCTGACTCGTAATTCTCTGGAGCACCCCTTTCATCAAATTCTGGATCTGGTACTTTATCATGCAATCTATTTTACACTTACCTTCTTATAAATTCAGCAAAAGGTATTCTATGAGAGTACCCCTCCCTACGAATTCGTGTAGTCTCCAGTACACCTGTATATCTTAGCTGTATTGTAACTTTTTCATTATCAAACTGATCTGGCAGATTGTCTCCATTAGGTCTGATGCATCTATAAAGATAAAACATCAATCCTGAAAGGAGTCTATTGACTGATTGTTAGTTTCTTGCTTAATGTCCAGTGGCAATTATTTCATGCATATTCCGGACAAGAAACTACTAACCTTCTGGCTCCAATGGGTTTCCATACTTAAGAAGTCAACTGTATGGCATGTATTTCAACATTGATGCATGTTCCCTCAACCAAAGGCTATTTATTGTCATGTTTCTCAGGTTTAAGGTACAGATTGGGCTCAAGTAAGTACTCTTTTAAAAATTGTTGATCACTGATTATCCATCTTGTCTGAGATAATGCTGATTTAAACCCATGATATAAGTGTCATAGAGGCATTTTGAGTTATTTTGACCTTCAGCATTTTGTATAGATTTGGACTAGTTCTAATTATTTGTGGTGTCATAAATTTTGAGAAATCATCATGTGACAAGTTCAAGTTGAGTTAATTATGTGTTATGTAATTAATTGGACATTCTCATTAGCATCAGTATTATTATATTAATTAGTTGACATAATTGTAATTATGAATTTGTACTAATTAGAGTGAATTCGTTTACTCAAAACTTGTCATGGTAAAATAGTATATATGTTGTGAATTCAATAAGTAAGAACAGAGTAGGATAGTAACAACAATAGAATTGTATCATTACTGTAGGAGTCATATTATATAGACATTTACCATTGTATGTGATTTTGGTTTGGAATTAAATTAAGAAAATCTTACTGTGAGTTTGGTATTAGTTCAGTGCCAGAGCTAAGTTTACGTCTTCAGCATCTCTAGCTGACCTCAACGTTTTTCTAATGATTTTACGTATAAAATTATGACCCCGTAACAAGGAAGCCAGCAGCCTCTTTGTTACATATGGTGGAGGACCCTGAGGCATATTGACTTATTAGTTCAATACTGATCCAGATACCAGTTCAGAGTGAGTTTTCTTATCCAGTATATATACATCAAGCAGAATGGATTACAATCTTCGACCACAGTGGCAGTACTGGAACTTTAACACAAGCCAAAGACATTTATGTGGAAAGTGTGGTTTATATCATAGACAAGGTACTTGTTATGCTTTTAAGAAGATGTGTTATCAATGTGGCAGAAAGGGACATTATGCAAGGATGTGTTTCACCAAATTTCAAGCTGCCAGACCAACAGGTTCAAAGCAAGTAACATATCACAAGAGAAAATCAAATCGAAAACAAGAACGAGATCATGAAAGAATGGACAAATTCAAACAGAAACGCAAAGTATTACAGGAAATGCCATTTTCAAGTATAAGAAATGGAGCTTTTATTAACTCTATAGACACAACACAATGCTTGAAAACTGAGCTACAGAAAATGAAAGAAAAACTTAACCAGGAAAAGACAAAAAGTGATAAAGAAATGAAAGAGCTGAAAGAAAAATTAATATGTAAGGAAGAAGAAACATTTCAATATAAAGAAGTGACAAAAACTTTTCAGGAACAAGTTGAAATATGTGAATCAATTAATAGACAATTAAAACAAAAATTAGAAAAGAATCCAACAACTTATGACTTTGAAATTGTTAAGGGCCAGCGCAATCAAGTTCTGAAAGAAAATAAAAGACTTTTAAAGGAATTAAGTGCTGCAAAACAGAGATCAAATATAGGTCATGTAGGTCTAACACAACCAAACAGAGGAAGTAATCTGAGATATAGAAACAATCAACTGAACCATCATCAACCAATACATAGCAGACGAAATGTGTATTCATCAGCAGATATCAAAGACAAAATGAAAGATGTAGTACAACAAACATTAGGTGAATTCAGGGATGACATAAAAAACAGACTTTCAACATTGAATATTTCTGATAGGCATTAACTTTTTAAAATTGAAAACACGAGGACGTGTTTTATCCGGGGAGGAGCCAATCTGTCATAGAGGCATTTTGAGTTATTTTGACCTTCAGCATTTTGTATAGATTTGGACTAGTTCTAATTATTTGTGGTGTCATAAATTTTGAGAAATCATCATGTGACAAGTTCAAGTTGAGTTAATTATGTGTTATGTAATTAATTGGACATTCTCATTAGCATCAGTATTATTATATTAATTAGTTGACATAATTGTAATTATGAATTTGTACTAATTAGAGTGAATTCGTTTACTCAAAACTTGTCATGGTAAAATAGTATATATGTTGTGAATTCAATAAGTAAGAACAGAGTAGGATAGTAACAACAATAGAATTGTATCATTACTGTAGGAGTCATATTATATAGACATTTACCATTGTATGTGATTTTGGTTTGGAATTAAATTAAGAAAATCTTACTGTGAGTTTGGTATTAGTTCAGTGCCAGAGCTAAGTTTACGTCTTCAGCATCTCTAGCTGACCTCAACGTTTTTCTAATGATTTTACGTATAAAATTATGACCCCGTAACAAGGAAGCCAGCAGCCTCTTTGTTACATAAGTTTCATAAAAATCTGGCATGAATTGTCTACACGAAAGTGCTAACAATGCAATTTTGCCTATAATTAACATTTCCAAGGGCAGAAGTCTTTAAAATAAACTGCTTCGCTGAGCGCAGCTGGATACGCCCACAGTGGTCCAACCCTGAACAGTTGGGGCAAAAATGGACACAATATTCAAGCTTGATACAGGTCTGAATTTGGATTGTAATTAAATATTTGACATATTATAGGTTTCTGAATAAATGTAGTCAAAGAACTTGAAATTGGTTATATGAATTGAATTTTATTCAATTAAAGATTTCTTGCTGTTATGCAATACACTGTGCTGTTGCGCAATACTTAGTAAATCTGTTGTCAGACTATAAACAAATAAAAGTTCAATTAATTCTCAATGTCATATTAGAAATTTATGAAAATGTAAAGGGAGCTTACATCAATAGATATAAACAATTCACCAAATTTTCATGAGAATTGCTGACAGCATTTTTGAGTTATTGTCCGAAAACTGGAAAATCCCCCCTTTTTTAATGAATAAAACCCCATAGCTCAGAAATGTAAAATGTAAAATTTATAAAATTCTAAATGGAGCTTACATCAATAGATATAAACAATTCACCAAAGTCTCATAAGAACTGCAGAAAGCATTTTTGATTTTTTGTCTGAAAACTGGAAAATCCCCCTTTTTTTATGAATAAAACCCTGTAACTTGGAAACGTAAAATCTAAACTATATAAAAATCGAAAGGGAGCTCATGTCAATAGATATAAACAATTCACCACAATTTCTTGCAAGTTGGTGAAAGCATTCTTGAGTTATTGTCCGAAAACTGGAAAATCCCCCTTTTTTTAATGAATAAAACCCCATAACTCGGAAACGTAAAATCTAAAATTTATAAAAAACGAAAGGGAGCTCACGTCAATAAATATAAACAATTCTCCAAAGTTTTATGCAAATTGGTTATAGCGTTTTTGAGTTAATGTCCGACATGTTGACGACGGAAGGACAGACGGACGGACGGACAGAGGTATACCATAATACGTCCCGTAAACGGGCGTATAAAAATTGTTGATCGGCACTGATTTATAAACTCTTCCGAGAAAATGCTGATATAAAGCTATAATATAAGTTTCATAATAATCGGGCAAGAATTGTACACATGAGAGCACTAACAATGCAATTTTCCATATAATTAATATTTCCAAGGAAATAACTCTTTTAAAACTTGTTGATTGGCACTGATTTTGGATCTTATTCAAGACAATGCTGATATAAACCAATGATATAAATTTTCTTAAAATCTGGCAAGAATTGAACACGTGAGAGCACTAAAAGGACTGGACAGACAGATACACAAACGGACGCCCGGTTTTTCTATGTTCACCACAACATTTTCCACAGCGAACAATTAGTACAAAAGGTAGGTTCAAGCTGGAACATCAGGAATGAAGGGTTATTTCTACTGCCAAAACAATGGTGTGTTGTAGTCTTTTTTGAAAGTTTTAAACCTCTGTTCCTTATTGTCCAGACACAGAAGGGTAGCTCCATCCCCTGCTAATTTACAGGTATTACCTAACAAAATGTGGAGTACCAGCCACCATCTTTGACATCAGGTCCATCAAAGAATATCGAAAATATGTAGCAACAGTCTGTTGTATTCTAGTCATGCTGGTCGATGCTGAACCCTGAAAAAAATCATTTAGTGCCCATGTTAGTTTCATTATGTTTCTGGTTGCTGTTTCATAGATGTATTCTGGACATTGGGGGTAATATATGTATATCATCATGGCATTATTTGACAGCTTTTTTATCCCTTATATACTACATGTAGTTTGGATTTTTCAGATAATATCTAAAGAGATGAAATTCCTCAATACTTTGATTTTCTGGGATAGTATCCTACAACAGACAAATATCATGTTTCTAAAATTTAAGTTAAAAATCTTAAAAATATTTTACATAGACAAACATGATTTGGTAATATCAATGAAGTTTGACCTATAGAGATGTAATACCACAAAATCATAGTACGTCACATCCTGTTGCATACGAAAAAGGGTCGAAAAAAAAAATATCCTTGAATTTGACAGTTGTAGGAAATTAATCCTACATTTCATTGCAGTAAAAAATTTCTGAGTCATAAACATATATCTTGGGTGTTTCAAAGCATCCTTATTTTTTTATTTGGTGTTTCTATAGAATATTTTGGAAACTTAAGGTTACATGGTTACTAAAGCTTGTAAACAGGAAAAAAAGAGGTGAAAATTTGATTGGTTAACTTCCAGTGATGGTTATTTTTTTATATGCAATGAAATGTCATGTGAAATTTTGTCTATAGTACTGGACAGAATAAAAACTTTACTTATGCCGAGTATTTCTTTATTTGAAACAAAGATAAATTCTGCACAATTTTTTGAAAAGTGCAAATTTAACAAAAACTAATAAGGGGAAAATCAATGGTGGTATTACACCTAGGACACTTCAAGAACAAGTATATCATATGTTCAGTCAAAAAATAAAAGACAATTGAGAAAAGATTAAATTAGATAAAAATAAGCTAATTAATGATGATAAGTATACAGGTAATGAGAATAGCTATGTAAATATAAATGGATATAATTTAAATATATCTCTGAATAAATAATGTTGATGATTGATTGAGGCAGTTAATTATCATACGCTAGATAGAAACTAAACGACACACTATAATTTATCAAATAATATCTTCTGATGACAATGAAAGTTTGATAGTTATAAAGTAAATCACTGTTGCTTATTGTGAAGGGAATAAAACTTTTCACCAGAATCAGTTGGTGATTACCTGGCCATTTAAATTTTTGAAAATGAAAATGTCCCATTGAATAAATAAATAAAATAGCTATTGTTCTCTGTGGAGTTCATTGAATCAGAAAATATAGGTACTAAGACTGAATAAGTAAACTTAATTGATTGATTGGTGTTTAACACCACTTTCAGCACTATTGTCTATTTCATGGTGTTCAGTTTTTATTGGTGGAGGAAGCCGGAGTGCCTGGAGAGAACCACCGACCTTAGGCAGGAAAACTGATAATCTCTAATCAATTAAGATTGGAGTAAAACACACCAGCCACATTATGTCAATCAAAGAACATATCTTTCACATTTTAAAAATTCTTACAAAACTTTCTCTAAATTATTGACTGATACAATTTCATATAATTTTATGCAATTCAGATGACCAGATTGAAAAAGCAATGCATGTGTACTTATATGTATTTATTCATAAAAATATTGATGTGCAGATTAAAATGCATTAGTATTTTAAAAGCTTATGGAAAAATATATTATCGCTATTTTGTGTATTTTTCCTTTGATCTTTTTTGTGATAATTTTTCATATCATGCTACTCGCTTGAAATAGAAAATTATCGTCAGAAACTAAGGGTGCATGTGACGTTGTCAATATAAACATCAACGACATCATAGGCAAAATAGCGATAAACAGATTATCAATGGTCTCAAACTCTAGGATGGTTCTCGGTCACATCTTATCTCAGGGTTGTCACCCTTCGATTAGATTGTAGCTGAGAAACACCCTCTCGTTTGAAAAACCATCAATAATATATAAATTCATCAGATGCTATTCTAAGACATTATAAAACAAATGAAATACAACAGCTGATAAAAACATTATAAAACAAATGAAATACAACAGCTGATAAAAAACAATAATATTTTATTAACTACTTGTTCCAATTTGATATTAGTCAAACAAACCAAAAAAAGCACTCAAGCACACTTATTATAGAATAAAACTCTGACTTCTAAAAAGGTTAAATCAATGAGATATTAGTATTAAAGTACATGTACTTCCTATAAACCAAATACACAAAAAGCAATGTGATTATTAAGAGACAGGGCCAATGAGGGGTGAGTTTTACAGACTTTTTTTATTTGAATTTGATGAATTCAGAAAATCAAGTCTGGATAATTTTAAAATTAGTGCAAATTTTTTTTAGAGTAACAAAACCATTTAATTCATAAAATTTGTGCAAAAATTAAAACAACATTGTAACTGATTTGACATTGTCAACAAATTTTGTGAAGTTATTTTGAAACAACATTTAATAAAAATATAATTAAAATTTAAGTACCCCATGCAGACCCTCAAAAAACATAATTACGATGATGACATGATGTCTAAGATGATTCTGATGATGCATACAAATTCTATAAATAGATGTCTAAAAACAGATACAAATGTCTATAAATAGATATAAGCTATCTATAGATGGTTACTTACTAGGGCGCTGTAAATCTGTAAGGATGTAAGATAAATTCTTCAAATTTTAAACATTTCTAAATACAACTATCCTTTGGATCCTGTAGACATGAAAAATTGTATCTGCTAGGTATAATACTGTCTAGACGAATTCTTAATTTCTCTGACAGACTTTACTTATTTGCAGCAAAGAGACAATATAAAAATTTAATTTTTTTGTAAGAAAACACATGACAAAAATTTGCCAGAATGTGTCAGATAAACAAATGGTTTTTCTGTTAATGTGTGTTGTTTGCTAGCTGTCTCCTTGGAATTTTCTTTGTAATTAAACTTTCATCATAGAATACACCTATTAGGCCAAAAATAAAATTTTGATGTTGCCTACCTACCCATCTAAAAAGCTGCCTGCCTACCCAAAGTATTTTATGACACAAATCATTTCAAATTTTTAAAAGTTTTTTCCCTGCTCTAACATAATTTTCTTGTCTAAAACATGTAACTTATGTTGTTGACCAGAAAAAAAAAAAAAATAAAAATCCCTACCTACCTACCTAACCCTACAAGGCATGGGTAGGCAACATCAAACAAAGAATTTTTTAAGGGTGGCCTAAAGTAAGGGTGTATTCCACTTCCTCTACTGATCAGAGTCTTTAGAGAGGGGACTACTGCAGTAACATTTATCAAAAATATTCTCATTGTAGCTCCCAAGTCATAAAATGATCACCAATTCCAATCTATTTTGTTATTGTCAAATTCAGAGGTACTTAAAAAAAGGCTGTATGGTGACCTATAGTTGCTTACATCTATGTCAATTGGCCTCTGGTGGATATACTTGTCTCATGGCAATCATACTGCATCTCCTTATTTTTATAAACTTTCAAAAAGTTTTTAGATCTCAAATTTCTAACTTAAAAAAATATTATATTCATACAAGTGCTATCTCTTTAGATAGTGATGGGAGTGTCCAAATCATTTGCTAAAATTTGGGAATCTCCCTTCGAATTCAAGTCTCTTTACAAAGATAGAGGTTTAAGTCACCTGACCTGACCTAACCTCAGTTTACAGGTAGGTCAAATCTCCAATTAAGAGAAAATTGTCTGTCATGTTGTTTTTTTTTTTAAATAAATTCATTTATGATTTTATTCATTCGATTGTTGACTGAATTAATTTTAAAACAAAAAGTAAAATAAAATGCATGTATCATGAAAACAGTGTGAAATAGATTCTACGGAAATTCCTTCACTAAATTTTATTCAGAGGAAAATATCCTACATTGGTGGTTCCAAATATTATAATATTATACAATCACTGTCTTTTGATGAGGTAAATATGTTGTTTTATTGACTTTTGAGGCCAACAGCTGAAGTGAATATCAGTTTTACAAAAGTCAATTAAACCACATATTTACCAAAAAAAAAAGACAGTAATTGTTTTATTCCGTATTCCGAGAGAAATCATGTATATAATGACAATTGGTCCGAGGACACAGTTATCGTCCTTAGATTTTCGTTGTCCCTAGTGTGGACAGTGTATAACTAGCAAAATTTTTCATACACTTTCCAAATTCATTTCTTTATATTTTATGCATGAAATATTAAGTAAGGGGATGAAATTACATGTTAAAAACATTTGGGTGCTGAATCTTTATGTAAAGTAGTGATTAGGTCCAGTTGAAAAAGGTCAGAAACTAGTATGTCTGAAGCTGTCAAACTGAATTTTAGACCCCCTTAACATAGAATTGTCAATATTTTGAGTTAGAGCTGGTAGACTTTTCTATAATTTTGATATTATTTGTCCCAATAGTAGTACACTATAATGAAAAAATCTTTTTGAGATAGAGCAGGTGCGATTTTTTTAATATGACTTTATTGTTTAAAAGAAATGCAGTACGAAATAACTGTGTTCTCGGGCCATTTATTTACCAAAACAAATTGTACATCAAACAAATTTACCATAATTATACATGTAAGAGCATGTAACATTTTGCATGGTGAATATACTTTTCCACAGATGAATATGCTGTTTTATTCAAAATTTCATTCATATAGAAAAACCTACTAAAGTTCTATCAATATGGAATAATCATTGACATTTAATAACCATACAGCTAAAACTGATTTTGTGTTTAAACCACTTTTCTTGTAACTTTTCAGTTCAACTTAAATCTATCAAGAAAATACTCATTGAAGTAAATATTGCTTTACAGAAACAACTCAAATCAGGTAATTTTACCTTAGAATTATTTGAGGTTTAGATAAGTAATTTGGGTTTTAACAGATATCATTTTTTTTTTAAAAACTCCTGATAAAATAAAAATTAAACTGATCACTTGCAAGATACAGGTAAACACATGTATAGTCTCTTGTGCAAAATAAAAAAATTATTGCATAAAAAAATAATATTCTGCTTCTTTAAAGCTGCTGCATCTTAAAAAGCAAAGAATAGCTCTAATTTCTGGAATATCTTTTTCAAAAGCGGACAAATAGTGATAAGAAAATCACTAGAAAATTTTTAATTCAATTGTACAACCTTAACTAAAAGAAAAAAAAAGAAGATGCCCCAACTTGTAAAGTATGCAAAGGTCAATGTACTAAGTCATACCTATTGACATCTTTTTTTTTTAAACTTAATGACATTTGTTTCTGTATGTTGTCATTAGAGATTGCTTTGGTGTTTCCAGTGTTCTCATTGTTCAATAACAAACAGTAATTGGGTAACTCGAGAACAGTGTAAGTCACACCACCCAAATTTGAACTTGATCTGTGTTTAGTGGTAATAAGCATTGTGTATAAGTTTCATAACATTTGGTTGAGGCAAAGTAAAATTAGAGTGTGGAAATGGCAAATTCATCAATTTTTCCATTTATCAAGAGACATAGCTCAAGAATGGAAAAAGTGACGCCACCCAAATTCAACTTGATCTGTGTTTGGTAGTAATAAGCATTGTATATAAGTTTCAGAACATTTGGTTTAGGCAAAGTAAAGTTAGAGAGCAGAAATGGCAAATTCACCATTTTTTCCATTTCCGTTTATAAAGAGACATGACTCAAAAACGGTGAAAGTGACGCAACCCAAATTTAGAAACTTGATCTGTGTTTTGTGGTATTTAGTATTGTGTATAAGTTTCAGAACATTTGGTTGAGGCAAACTAAAGTTAGAGAAGGAAAACCAATTTCCAGACGTACGAACATACAAGGGTAAACCTTAATGCCCGCACAACTTGGCGGTGGCATAAAAAAAGGTTACTTTTTTCAATTTGCTTACAAGGGTCTGACAGGGCTCAGTTCTACTTTCTGTTTAGCAGACCTTTCAGGATCCTCTTGTATTGTTATAATGATAAACACCTTATAATTTATAAGCAGAAATTTCATTGGCAAATGTAATACCTGTAATTACCAGAACAGAAAGAAGCACAGAGTGTTGTCAGATCAGTGTAAGTAAAGTTTGGACACTGGACCAATTTTTTTAATCAGATTGTAATTTTCCTGCATCTTTTGTGTTTTGTAGCAAGTACACATAAATTTAATATTTTCCAATTGTGATGTATTGTTTTTATCCTGCAATTTGATATTCTCACTAAAATGGGTTAGTTTATTTATTCCCAATCTTAAGCTTTATTTTTACATAGAAATAATCAATGCTTGGACAGGGACATTGTTGGTGACACTCAAATGAACTTTGAGATGTAATAGAAATATGAATATCAATGGTTACTCATTAAAAGGCAAGATTGATTGATTATGGTTTAACACCACTTTCAGCACTATTGGCAATTTCGTGGTGGTCAGTTTTTATTATTGGATGAAGCTGGAGTGCCCAGAGAGAACCACCAAACTTTGGTAAGAAAACTGACAATCCTAGTCAATGTAGATTGGGGTTGAACCTGCCACCTGCAGGATTTGAACTCACAACCTCAGTGCTGACAGACTATTGATACAGTAGTTAAACTACTTAGACCACTCGGCCATCAAGGTCCCTGAAAAGGCAAGACTTGGAGACAACATTTGTATACAATCTGAATATGGCATTGGTTTATCAGTACCCCCTTTAAAGGTTTCAATTAAATTGCTTGTGATTCTAAAATTTATATAGTGGATGATTTTGTGAGTAAATGGTCCAAATTTCATTTTACATTTTAACCTGGAAGTGAATAAAATGACCCCTTAAGAATTCTCTCAATAATCAAAAAGGTTGAGAAAGGAAATTTTGGGCTTCGTTCCATTTTTAGTTTAGCTTTTAGATTTTAGATGTGAAATTAGGAGATGATATATATATATGCATAGCGAGGTGAAAGCTGAGGGTACTCATATATTCTCCTCAACATACTGAAGTGTAGGTAAATTAAAATATTAAAAATCTATAAAATCTATAACATATGAAGTATTGTTACACACAACCTTTTTCATTAGCATAATCTCCAACTGAAATTTACAAATATGATTCATAACAACAGAAATTTTCCTGTTACTATGCTACTTGATTTCTATTGCAAAAATATCAACATGAGACCTCATTTCTACTTTCTTATGAAAGTTTTTTAATGAGGAAAGCAAAATTAAAAATTTCGGAGTATACAGTAACCAAAAAGTAAGCCTAAAAAATTACAACAAAAATCATTCATCTGACTGATGTCTAAGCACTGTACCATGAGACCACAAAAGCTATAGCAAGATTTTATAACTGATGATGGTCTCTTTTTGCAATAGGAAACTATATAATAAAACAAAAACCTCCAAATCCCTTCTTGGTATTCTCAACCAAAACTAAAATTCATAGGTAAAGTATAAAGCTAACTTAATATGTAATGACAGCTGAATAGTAGTCAACAGAAAAAAATCCAATTCCTCTACTAAACTGTTAGTAAATAGATTACATATAGGTTAAGCCAAGGAGTATGGAAAGTGGGCAGAGATTTGGGAATTGTGCAAAATTATATATCTGAATAAGAAAATGGCGTGCCCCAGAAACTTACACTGTACAAATACTTGGATGATGATGATCCATGATACTTCAATGAAAAAATAACACAATGACAATTTTTAAAATACTTTTGGAAAATATGTTTTCAATACATTTCACCTCGTATGAATTATAACATGTGACGGCTATTAAGATTAATTGTAAATCGTCTTTTTTTCTATTTTTGCTTATTTTGACATTTAATTTTAATCAATATTTTACAGTTCCAATTGGTAACTAAGTGTATTTTGTACTTTTGACATTACTTTGAAAAAAAAATATTTCAAGCAGAAAATGTAGGTCATGGTGATCCCAATGTTCTTGAATTGTGAAAAAAAGTATGCGTAAGATGTAATTAGTATACCACTAAGAAATTCATAATTTGTTATGAAATATAGAAATCTCAATTTTGATAATAACAATTATAAATACACTAAAAATACCTAAACATAAGAAACAGCTTTACAAACAACAAAAATGTGCTTTAACACCATGTTAATAACTCTAATGAAAATCCTAAAGGATCCCAAAAAAATATTTTAGCGATAGCATTTGAAATACATTCCTGGTACTGCAAATTTTATTCAAATATTTCGGCCACAAAGTATAAATTTGTGGAAAATATTTTCTAACCAAGGACTGCAATGAAATGAAACTTCATGTTTTATTATGCAAATAAGTATGCATTTCCATGGTAACTCACCTTGCTTCCACCCATTCCACCATATCCTGTTGACTGTTTGGATGAGTAACTCTGTACATTGATTGAAGACATGGAACCAAATGGTGAACTTAGTGCACTGGATGCAGGGGTTGGGCCTCTTGATCCACTGGCAAGATTGCCTTAAAGATGAAAAGAGAAAAATATGCTATGATTAAGATATTTGCTAATGAAGGTACATGTAAATAAAATAATAAGTTCATCGAATACTTTGTTGATCTAAGGAAAGATAATCAATAATATAACTCCTTAATTTCCTAGGTTCACTGTCATGCACTGTTGTAGGTTTGATTCTATATGGAACCAAATAGGGTTCTTTATGCTTGTCTATTGTCATCAATATCAAAAAGTTTAATGGAATTCATGAAAATTGTAAATCTAAAAAAAAATAATTTCAAAAGCCAGCAGTTCTTAATACCTTGGAACACTATGATTCACTCTACATCTTAAATATATACAAAGCCAAACACCAGTGCTACCTATTTCAATCAAATAACTTGTTTGTAAGATTTAAAATATATATATAGTGCTTCTTCAAGCCAGTTTCAGGTGAACTTCACCCAATCTCTTTTTAATGGACAGTGTACTTGTATAAGTGAACTTTAACCAAATCATGTGGTTTGAGTAAGCCTTTCCTGTGAAATTGTCTCCCCTGTGAATCCAATTTCCATAATTGAAGTTACTACCTAAAATACCATTAGATGTTTTCCGTCGCACAATAACATTCTTTCTCACAAATTTACTTAATCGGCCTGTAAAACAGATAGAGATATAACCAATTTCTTCTGAAATTAACAGTATCAAAGCTTCATGTTTGTACCTGTGGTTTTGAGAACGTTATGTTTCTGAATGTTTATCAAACTTTAATGCTTATTAAAGGTGACTCAAAATTGTCATTTTGATAGTTTTCTAAAGCATCTAATTTATCTTAAAAATGAACAAAAATGACATTCCTAACATACACTAAAATTCTATCTGATGAATAATTTCTTTCCGATGGAATCAATTCATTTTGGTTTTGAATGTATTTTGATGCAAAACTTTGTATCCAAATATGTATAGCCCTGAATAACATTTTAAGCCAGTATGAATATTTGTAAAATTGTTGAAATTCTTTCTAAAATATTATTTTCTGACCTCTGCAATAATATACATAAAAGAGATTACAGGATTACCAAAAAAATTGGACAATACAATGTACTTCCAAAAATTAGACAATAAGTTACAAACAAAGAAAAACAACAGTAAACAACACATGGTCAAGATAGCTTGAATGATACAAGCAAAATTTGTTGGGATTAAACTAGTTATAACATAAGGTTGCATACATTGTTTTAATTAGTATAGACCCATTAAAAATTCAAAACAAAACAGATGGCCTACAGTGGGGGTAAAATAAAAATCTATGTTGCCCATGTGGTTTTGCCTGTGAAATTTCGAGGTCATAATAATGCAAATTTTGAAATTTAAATGGCAACACTGTATGACAATTTTTAAAGTTAAGAAAATGAAAAGATGGACAACCCTTTTACATTACAAAAAAGGAAAACAATACACCTTATCGCTATTCCCGCTTGACCCGAGAATATGTCCCGCTCGAACTTTTGACGTCATACAACAATCACTTTTCCATTGTGGTGTGAGACATTTTCTATTATGACGTCAAAATTTTACGGGAACTTGTGTGATGTCCAGTAATGGCGGACAAATAGCGATAAGGTGTATTAAGACGAAAGCCAACAATAAACTTCTAACATACCACATGTACCATGAAGATGAGACTGTTTCCCTTTATAATAATCATAAACCATTTATAACCCATTCCTCAACATAAATCTAATATATAAGAATCAAAAACTTTAAAATATAAACTATGCAAAAGTTTCAGTCAATGGATTGTATAACTGACAGAGTGTGCAAAAATAATCTCCACAGAAATAAGAACTACCAATGCAAATATTGAAAATACTTTACCCACCATTAGTGGTCCTCCTTAAACTGACATAATCACAATGCATGTAAACTTTTCTGATTAATTATATATCCCAGATAGGCAAGCTCAGAACAATCTCAGCAAGGTTTTTACTGTCAGATTGGAGAATCCCAGGTTGCTGAGAACATGTATATAGGAATTCAATTCCTATTAAGTGCATTTTAATAAAGGTTCAAAGGTTAAGATCTAACAAAGCACTTCCTAAAATATCTGTTTTATGTTCAAAAGATAGTGGAATGATTATCTATATAAAGGACACCTGCTACAAAATAGCACATTTACCTGTTTTTGTGAGGTGTGTTTGGAAGAGTGATTTAACAACTATATTCTCTGAGGCCCGTAACATATTAACGACATCTCCAGGAAGACGATCACGATTCTTTTCTAGGAAACCCATTGCATCATACTCTACTCGGCCAGCGTAGTGGTCCACGTAGAAAGTTATGTTACTTCCTTTTGGTCTGCTGTAGTGTTTCGACTGGATATTTTTGTGAAATTTTTCTGAAAAGAAATTTCATAGTTGTTATAAAAATATGAGAAACTATTAATATCTAATGTTCTGCTGCAGGAATATGAAATATGCTTCAAATCTATTGTCTTAAATAATTAAACATTATTTTTATTGAATGAAAATTATTTTAAAATCTTGCAGATTTCCCAAAAATTTCAAGTGTCTTCTGAGATTTTCTTTCGAATACATGCAAAATTATACATGTATAATATTTTCCTAATTTGATTGGCCCAGGTCCAATAATGAAATTCATAAGTCATACTCATCACTAGTTGTATGGGGATCAGAACTAAAATGATTAGAATCTTTTTAAACTTTGCCAAATGACTTTTAATCACGCTTTTTAAAATCATAATAAAAAGTTTAGGTCACAGTATATAAAGCTACAGAATGTACAAATTTTCATATTTAGTAAGCATTCTATTTGGGGAAAAGAAAGAGAAATAGATGATAGACTTTTGTACTAAAATATAAAGCATTGTTTATTATCTGATTTTCTAGCAATACAGCAAAACTGGTTACTGTAAATAGAAATAAGAAGATGTGGTATGAGTGCCAATGAGACAACTCTCCATCCAAGTCACAATGTGTAAAAAGTAAACCATTATAGGTCAAATACGGCCTTCAACACGGAACCTTGGCTCACACCAAACAGCAAGCTATAAAGGGCCCCAAAATGACTAAATTCATTATCATATTCTTTGGACAATAATTTTGTAGATTTCTGGGGTAAAGGAGAACCACAAATTCAAATGTTCAACGATGTGCATATTTTCTTAAGGCTTGTATGCAAAACCAAGAACTCAAATATGCACGAAAAATTGTTTTTCCTCAATCCATGAAAGTTGTGGTTCCTCAATCAATGAAAATTGTTGTTCCTCGATCCATGAAAATTGTTGTTCCTCGATCCATGAAATAAATCAATCTCCAGTATTTTAAAAGTCAAGTCTTATAAATCTAGCAAGCTATGGTTTTTCTACTTGGCTAATTTGATATGCCTCCAAAGCTTGTTTCAAAAAGTGCATAGAAATTTGAATATTTGGTATAAGTTCTTTGATTAAACTTGCCTAAACCAAGAAATATAGATTCCACCACTGTATCAAGTGTGTTACAATATTTCTCCACTCAAGAAAGTTAAATTGTAAACGAGTTGTAGTGTTGGAATCTGTTTTTCTAATGATTTTAAGACGATATCTAAAAAAAGTTTATCCTTCCTTTTCAAAGATTTGCAGAAAGTTGTGATCTTTCTATGTGATGTCATCAGGCATGGTCGCCTTTATTCATGACGTCACAATAGGAAATTAAGAAGAAATCAAGAAAATTTGACTTCATATTTGAGATTTCGACCTATCATTTGCTGAGAACAAAATTTTCTCTATGGGGGAAAAATATTTTTCTCACAAAGATCGAGATATGTGAAAATAGCATGAAAATTAGAGAAAAACTGCGGGGGGGGGGGGGGGGGGGGGGGGGGGGGGGGGGTTACTGACCATCCTATCGGCTGACAGCACTTGCCAAATCATGCATGAAAAAGCGACCCTGTTATAATCAGCAGGACATGAAAAAGGGACCCTGTTCTAACCAGCAGGGCATGAAAAAGTGACCCTGTTTTGCGGCACACTCGTACCACTAAAAATATAGGAAGTAACCCCCCCCCCCCCCGGAAAAACTTTTCTAACTTTGCTTATTATGTGTTATTCCTTACCGACTAAAGATGCATCTGTTGCCTTTGGGAAGTGACTTTCCTCATCCAGTAAAGCTAACAGTCCCATAGGCTTCATCAAGAACATGTCCAGTAACGGATGGTTATCTATAAATGATACCTGGATACCCTCTAATCCTTCACTTTTATACTCGGCCTGAAAATGTACAGAAATTATTACAACCAAAATCTCGTAACTGTTAAACCAATTTTCCTGCAAGTGGTCAATTTCATTTATGAAGATCTTTTTGAAGAAAAATAAACAGGCTTTGAAATGGAATTGCTCAGTAGGAAATCAGGTAACCTAAAGTAAAGTTATCTGAAGCAAGCACACTGTTTCATCAAAACAATATTAAATTTAACACATAACAAAAGAGAGGCAGAAGATATCAAAGCGATATGCAATCTTATGTCACATAAATGGAGAATGTGTCTATGGGCCACAGATGCCCCCGCCTGTAAATATGCACGAGTCAATTTCTACATACAGATGCAGGATTCATGTAGTTTAGACCGTTTTGTGATTATAAGCATTGTGTATAAGTTTCATAATATTTGGTTGAGGCAAACTAAAGTTAGAGAATGGAAACAACAGATTTAGCAATTTTTCCATTTATAAACGCGCATAACTCAAGAACGGTAAAAGTGACACCACTTAATTTCAAACTTGATCTGTGTTTTGTGGTAATAAGCATTGTGTATAAGTTTTATAAAATTTGGTTGAAGTGAACTAAAGTTAGAGAACAGAAACGAAAAATTCAGCAATTTTTATGTATACAAAGGGACATAATTCATGAACAGTAAAAGTGACGTCACCCAATTTCAAACTTGATCTGTGTTTTGTGGTAATAAGCATTGTGTATAAGTTTTATAACATTTGGTTGAGGCAAACTAAAGTTAGAGAAAGGAAACCAATTGTGGGGACATACGGACAGGACGGACAAGGGTAAACTTAATGTCCCCTCCAATATGGTGGGGGCATAAAAACAAACTGACAGCACCATGGCAAAAAACATGACCAAAAGATTAAGAACTGTCCACAACATAGAAAACTAAAAACTGAGCAACAAGAATCCCACCAAAAACCGGGGATGATCTCAGACACTCTGGAACTCTATTCTCATGCATAAAAAATGTATATTGTATAATGTATAAATAGTTTATGTCACATCAAGCTACATGCACTATTAAAAAATAAACAGCTGTGCCAGAAGTGCATTTTAGGCCCTTCTTTTGCATACTGATATTGTTGCAAGAATAAAATGGAGTATTTAGAAGATTTTTAATAAGCCCTCTTAAAAAAGTTACATGATGATATCCTAAGACAATATAAATATTGCCTAAACATATGACTATTAAAAGTCCCATAACTCTGGAATATCTGACCACAAAAATTTTCAAAATGGAATGGAAGCCTACATTCACAAACGCAACAACAGTGTAAAGTTTGTAATAATTTGATCCAAGCATACTACAGCTTGTGCATGACATGCGAAAAATTACCTTAAATCCGATGGTTAAAGCCCCATAACTCTAGAACAAAAAATGGAAAAATTTTGAAAATCTAAAGGTACCTTATATTTACAAAAACGGTAAGGGAGCTTTCTTTTATCAATCCCTACAATAGTGTCAAGTTTTAAGTAATTTGATATAAGCAGACCACAGTTAGTGTGTGAAATATAGGTTATAGTCTGATGGTTAAAGTCTCATAACTCTGAATTGACCACCAAAAATATTTCAAAATCGAAAGGCAGCTTTCTTCTGTCAATCCTAATGTTGTGTTCAAATTTCACTAGAATTGGTTAAAGCAATTTTAAGTTATTGTATGAAGTGTTGACATACTGACGGACACAATAAGGTATACGATAATATGTCTGGAAGAAAATGAAATATCATGATGTTTTTTCTTTTTTTTTTTTTTTTTGGAGGGGGGGGGTTTGGTTTACTGTCCTGTTGAAATATACTGCATATTTATTTCAATTTTTTTTTAATTTACTGCCATGCCAGTCAGGTGCTTGTCTGCAGTGCAGAACGTCACAGGTTCAAACCTTAAGGTGGTATGTAACACTACAGGGAGATAACTCTGTAAAAATCACTTGAACGTTTTAATCACGTTCTATTGTTAAGGAAATATCAAGCTTCTCAATGATCAAAATTAATGTTTGTCAAACTGCTATATATCCAATGAAATTTTTCCGATAAAGTGTGTGGTTCAATTTTTTTGAAATTTTTATATTTATGTCAAAGGGTCAAAGTATTTATTTTGTCAAAATTTTATGAAAATTAAACGAGCCAAATTACTTTTAGTCAAGGTGTTTGGTACCACCTTAACTGAGTCAAACTAAAGACTTGAAAAATGAAAAGCTCACAATTTGTATTGTGTCAGGCTATGCTATTAACAAATATGGCAATTTATGAGCACAAAACATCCTGCAATGTTGTTATTTTCTGTTAGCCATTCAACATGGAACATACCGCTAAGCAATCACATGATGTCATATTAGAATTCCAATGTAGCAGCAGTGATTCCTTAAGAAAGCAACCACCAAAAGTAGTGACAAACGTGCAACACAGAAAAAAAAGTTATAATTTACCATCACAAATTGGTATTGAAATACTAATTTTTTAAACACATGTTGTGGAGATTGTGATAACTGATTATTAGTGGAATTGGTGACAACTTTCAATAAAAAACTTACCATTTCCCAGGCAAATATATGCTGGTTAAAGTAATACTGAATTTGTTCATTGGCTATATTGATACACAACTGTTCAAATGAATTCTTTGGAAAGTTCTCAAAACCAAATATATCCAGTAATCCTATTATAAAATTGTTTTCTGAGCTGAAAAAAGAAGAAAATATTTTTTTAGTAGTAATATCATTCTTAGTCCATTCTTTTCCCCTCATCTATTTGCTATTAATGAAAATTGTTTACCTTCTCATAATTTTAAGTCTCATATATTTACCCAAGAACAAAAAGTAAAAGGAATGCTAAACCTCTGGTGTCTTCCCGATTGTCCCACTTTTTGAAATTACAGGTAAAAAAGTAATGAAATTTTGTGGGACAATCGGGAAGATGTTTGTGGGACAATTGGGAAGTTTAAATGTGGGACAATTGGGAATTGTTTTGATAGTAATTAAATTGTTTTTATAGTGTGTAGCAGGTAATTAAAGGTAACTAACCAAAGTAACTTATAAAATAAGAAATATGAACAAATAATAATATTAACATATTTCTTTTTTGCATATATTAGCAACAAAGTATCATCAAACACAGACTTTAATATATATTTAGTCATAAAATAGCACATATCAAGCACTTCTCAATACTACTTTGATATATAATAAAAAGATTTTCACTTAAGCACACATAATAAACAGCTAAATACAATAAAGTACACGCAATAAACAAATTAATTCATTAAAGCACACACATGACACATGACACGAAGAGCAGATACTATTAAGTACGCACAATGCATAAGGTACAACAATAAAGCACACATGATTCATAACTTAAACATCACAACACATCATATAATTGCAACAAACTTAGTCAAAATGTAACAAATAAGTCAGAAGCAATGTCAGCATACTGAAACACAATAACTTCGCTATTCTGAAGATGGTCTGAGTTCCTGTAGGCATTGGTTGACTTGTTTGTATTTTGTTCTATATGTTGGTCCTACTCCCCAATCTTGGTACTGAATGATAGTCATATCGTTTCCTGCCTGCTCTTCTTTAAGATATTTCAGTAGCTTTTATACTATGTTTGGATGTGGTACTTAGATCATCTTCTTCAAGCTACTGTGACATCCATCGAGGTGGTTTGTCGGCCTTGGTCCTTCGGTTTGGTAATGGTTCCATAGCTGCCTGTTGCTTTCAACCCAGTATGTTGTGACGTTATCCGTAAACGAAGTGATATTTGCTGTTGAGTCCAAATTTTCCAGGTCTTCAAGTGTATGGAACCAGACGTCGTTTTTTTCTGTAGGTGGTACCAGAGGAAGAACTGCTGCCGACCGTATAAGTTGATGAATGTCTGGTTCTCCTTTATAGTTAAGAAACGAGTCTTGCTTACTGCACTTTTCGCCAAAAACACTGAGTATAGTGAAACAAAATGTCCTTCAATAGTTTTTCCTGGAAAGGATACTCTGGCAGAATTCTGAACAGCAGCTTCGTAATCAATGAAGAAAGTTGTTGGGTTCAGGTTAATCTGACGTTTTAATTTAATTTTAATTTAATAATATTTTATTGTATTAATCAAGCAATAGGATTGGCCACAAGTTATTACAACTTATATTAAGTCCTCTCCTTACATATACAATACACATATATGATGACAGCAAACACATACATAGTATGGCGACAGTTATAAATTAGGAAGGAGTCACACATTGGCTTGGCAACAAAAAAAAGCAAATAGAACAGAGAGAAAAAAGAAAGCTGCTGACTTAGAACGTTAAAATCTTTTTGACTGTTTAATGAAATAACGAACTTTATCAAAAATTTTAGAGTTAGTTTTCGTAATTATATGCATCTTTTCCAAACAATAGCGTTTTAATATCAATGTGTATGTTCATATGTATAAAATCATTAACCAGAGATATTCTTTGGTTATGATATAATTGGCATTTCTAGAAAGTAATGGATGGCATCTTCAACAGGAGAACCGAAGGAGCATTTAGAATCATTGCATGTAACACTTTTAAATTTATTTAAAAATTTTAATAAAAAAATGTAATTAAAAATACAATACTGATATTTGTTTTACAAATAAGAGTAACATGATATTTTATAACTCAGAAATTTTATATTATTTCATCAAAAGTGCTTTAATGTGATGATTTAAAAGATCATATTTTAACTCTTGTTTATTTAGTAAAACAAACAACAACTACCTTGTTTATTTAAGAACATTTTACATAATAAAATAATGTGGGACAATCAGAACTTTTCATGTGGGACAATCAGAACTCTAAAATTTTAAAAAGTGGGACAATCGGGAATAAACCAAACCTCTCTATCATGGAACATGTTGTCATTAGAACTGAGGGCAAAAATTTTTATAAAGATAACATATTATTTTCCTTTGCAATACACAAGTTGATGTATGTTATGTAAATGCAAGTGCACTTAGAGTGTGTATGTGTGTGATTGTTCTTTTCCCCTTTTTGTTATAATGTTGATATTCATATAATAGAAGAAAAAATGTAGTCAATTATTTAAATTTTGTTTCATTCACCAAAACCTTTACCACCATAGTCAGGTGGTGATATACATGGATTGTAAAAGCTGGACTACAAATAAAAAAAAGTTTTACAATTATTTTTCCATGTGTTCATTTACAATAGAATTGTTATATAATTAAAAAATTCATTTTTGCTGTACTCATTAAATTTTTGTTCCAGTCTTTCTTTTTTTTTTGCTATGAGAAATAAAGGGTCATATCAGACTGCCTTCAAGTATTTCATAGTTCAACCTTTTATGTCATCTTTCATTTCTAAATATTATGTCTGAATCTATTTTTTTGTATATGAAATGTTGTTTATAATTCACTGAACCTGTGAGAATGGAATGGTGTCTACTTCAGTTCTTCTGAATTACTTAAACTGAATGGATGCTAATTTATCACATTGTTGTAAGCAAAAAATGTACATATGGGTACAGGCACATAATCTTTAGTGATTTCTGTTTGACTATAAATTCCAGCCAACCTTGAAAATGGTTTATTTACCCTTGTATGACCCTATCCTCATGACAATAGGTATGCAGGTCACACCTGTAGCTAGAGGGAGGGGATGAATGCACCCCACTGTATACAAAAATATACTACAAATGTGTATTGGGGAAAAAATTATCATTTCAATTTGCTTTGACCTCATAGATTTTGTGGTTAATTAAAACACTAATAATCCATATGTATTTCATTTGTTATCTGCAAAGCTTGAAATTACACATCGAAAAACCCACTAGTGAGATGAGTTATATTTTACACAACACTGAATTTCACTTGAAAGTATCTACCATCTTAGGCAACACTATGTAGATATATATATATATATGTTGTTTGTGCTGTATTTAGACCCCTCTACCAAGAAATTTGTTTTACATGCACACGTATAAAAATTGTGGTTTTTATCCAACGCAATCATAGGTTTGAACGTTGTTTTCAATTTAGACTTGTTTATATTTGAATATACATTGTCTAAAAACATGTTTCCATGTGTAGCATACATTTTTTGTAATCAGAGATGAGAATGACTTATCAAACCAAACCAAATATCCTATACTAAAAAACACTCCATAGTAAGAGCTTAGACTGGTTTAAGAAAGAAGTAACCTAATAGAATTTAATATCTTAAAAAGGGTAATTTATCTGTAAGCTATATAAATACTTTACACTATAAAAGTATAGAATAAACTACCAGGAGCTCCATTACTGACATGAAAAGGGAGACAATTCTGTTAGATATCCAAATATACTACAATCTACACTATAAAAATGCAGAAATCAAAGAGCTGAAAGCTCTGAGGAAAAATGACGCCACTGTCTCTAATATTGTGATATTTTTTATGCAAGTCTTGATTTTCACATACCGTAATTAGTTTAACATTCCAACATGTCTCGTAAGCATATAATTGATATTCGTATATGTGTGTGTTATGTGAAGATGACAACTGGCTGTTTTTTTAGTACAAATGTATAGGTCAAGACTACCTGAATGATCTACAGTATCCAATGACTACTGGCTGTTTTTTTCTATAAATAAATAGGTCAAGACTACCAGAATGATCTACAATATCCAATGACTACTGGCTGTTCTTTTGTAATAATAAATAGGTCAAGACTATTTGAATGATCTACAATATCCAATGACTACTGGCTGTTCTTTTGTACATATAAATAAAGACTACCTGAATGATCTAAAGTATTCTAAATAATGTGATTTTTGTCTTGCAATTACATTTTTCTAAATCAAGAATATAGACTACTAGTATCCTTTTCAAACCAAATGATTATGAAGAGCCTGTTGTTATCAAGCTCTTATACCCCACATACATATACTCATTAAATAAGTTACTAGTGACCTAGTTATTTCTGTTACTTGAAGCAAATTATATTTCTGTAGATTTAGACAATAGTATAATATTGTTTTACTAGTTTTATTTCACCTTGAAGATTAGACAAATAGGGATACTCCTTTGATTTTTTATTTCATGTCAGTCAGGTCGCTTTATATGAAACTTGAAACCACTTCTCTGCCATATTGTTATTTCATAACAACTCTGCCCTTGACCATGTTGACCCATGTAATTGATATTCATTCTTTAACCATATATCAAAGTCAGTTAGTTTTTGATTTTGCACTCCCACACCACCTTTCAGGTCAAATGTCTGTCTCCATTTAAGTTAATGACATTGAACAATCATGGTATTAAACACAATTTCAATAGTGATAATGCTGTTCTAGTAAGTCACCATATATTCAACTTGGGTAGCATTCTAGTTATTGAAATTTGTGTCAGATTAGAACAATGATCTAGACCTTTAGGAATGGATCTTACAATTTAATATGGAGCCATAGTATGGGACCCCTACACGGTAACAAAAAAAAACAAGCTTGAAAGGATACAACGTCAAGCGGCAAAATCTATCACCAGAAGTTACAAGTCAAGAGAGGATGGACGGGATACGTCTCTAAAATGCTTGCCTAACTGGAACTACAACAAGATCTCCAGACAAGACGAACAAGGAGTTGAAGCCAGAAGTTAATATTTATGTAAAAAGTAGTTGAGGGGCTGATTCCCGCTATTGAACCATACTGTCATTCTATAATATTATTGTGTAAGTATTTCTGTATTGTCCTTGTTATTGGTCCATGTCTTGGTGTACTGCTGGCCGAGGACCAACAATAAGGCCAATACAGAAATACATGTAATAGTATCTTTATTAATTAACTACAGTGTAACAATATTTTTTTATTTCATTTCACAAAAGATAAACATTTTTACCTTGAAGTGGAACTATCCAAATCTCAGTTTCTTTTTACAAGATGCAATATCTAATGATTTGGTGCCGTTTCCATGTATCTTCAGCCTGTTCTCATCTGATGAATTTTTCTACCCTTTCCAGTCACTATAAAGTGTTACAACTTTAATTTAGACACAACACATAAATAGTAATTGGAAAGGTACTGCCATTGCATGTGTAATGCAAATATATTTAAAAAAAAATAATGTAAGAGTTGAAATTGATACAACTATCCATAAGCCAATTGACCAAAGAACGAAGATTTGCGCAATTACAGAATGCATATGCCTGGTTCGGGTTTTAAAATAAAAGACCGTTTACAAAACATGAGAAGCGAAAGTAAACAGTAATAAACAGCTGCGCCATGAGCGCATGATACGCCCGTCGTCTTGTGTGTGTATTTTTATGCAATAAGCATAAATAGTTTCTGACATACGGCGTGACATGCGAAAACCCCCTTTTTTTTTTTTTACAAAAAACTCAATATCTCTAAAATAAAATTTTGAATCAAAACCAAAAAGTATACAGATCTTTAGATTAATATAACTAAGAAGTGTGTAAAATTTTAAGCAATAATCATAAATCATTTTTGAGATACGGCGCGACATGTGAAAACACCCCTTTAAAAAAAAAAAAATCAATATCTCAAATAAAAAATTTTGAATCAAAACCAAAAAGTATACAGATCTTTAGATTAATATAACTAAGAAGTGTGTAAAATTTTAAGCAATAATCATAAATCATTTTTGAGATATGGCGCGACATGTGAAAAACCCCTCCCCCTTTTTTTACAAAATACTCATTAACTCAAAAATAAAATTTTGAATCATCACCAAAAAGTATACAGATCTTAAGGTTAATATAACTAAGAAGTGTGTACATTTTAAGCAATAATCATAAACTGTTTTTGAGATACAGCTCGACATGTGAAAAACCCCTCCCCTTTTTTAACAAAATACTCAATAACTCAAAAATAAAATATTGAATCATCACCAAAAAGTATACAGATCTTAAGATTAATATAACTAAGAAGTGTGTAAAGTTTTAAGCAATAATCATAAATTGTTTTTGAGATACTGCCCGACATGTGAAAAAAAACACACACCTGTTTTAGTTACTAAGTCCTGCAACTCAAAAAGTTTTAATCTTATTTTCACCAAAAAGTATACAGATCGTTTGACCATCATAAGAAACAACTATGTTAAGTTTCATGAAATTTGGATAAGTCATTCTCAAGTTACGGTGCGACATGTTTACGCCGGACAGACAGACGGACGGACAGACGGACGGACGCCGGACATTTGTATAACATAATACGTCCCGTCAAAAATTTGACGGGCGTATAAAAATCGATTTGTACCATCGACATGATGAAATAATGAGGTCGTCAAGAAATGAACTTTGTGATAATTTACTCGTTCCCCAAACCTGAAATAATTCCATCGTCTACTTTCAAAATGCTTTTCAAATGAATGGGACCGTCTTTAACCTAAAATATATGCCATACTGAACGTTTCAGCTTGTTTATGGCGAGTAAATAAAAACTGCGTCGTACAAACAACTGTTTACTTTCAGTTTGAGTTTATCCTGACTTACGATCTAAAAACTAGAGACGTTCCGAAATCCTGTTTTGGTCGGATCAGAACTCGGCCAATACGGAAAAAAAATCTGTTTTGGCCGAGTTGACATCTTATATTGCATATGCAGTTTTCATCATATTAAGTACAATAACAGTGTAGTTAATTAATAATGATACAGTTACAGACTCTGCTGCTATAACTTTGTAAACAAAAATTCATACGCACCGCGTGTGTATAACCGTATTACTAATTTCCGATTATTAAAATCTTCGTAAATCTGGATAAAGACCAGTTTCTATCCAATGGATATCAAAATGATTCCGATTATTACTTTTTTAATGATTGTAAAGTTGAAATGGCATGAAAGGCTGACATTATTTAGGAGAACTATTTTGTCTAGCGATTGCTGATCATTGGAGGGTAAAAAGTCCAACACCATAACAAAACGGATCTATTTATCATGTATACATACCGATTGTTTACGATTGTATGCCATGTGCATAAAAGTGAAAGCTCGAATAAATATGAAAAATATAACAAAGGGATAGCTCCAAATACCATTTAATAACAAAAAACATATGGACAGGTCAAGATATCTTTTTGGTAAATAAAAAATAGTATGTAAACTGGTTCCCGTCCGACTACAACACTTTGTTCGAGTGTAGCGTAATACAAGCAGATTCCAGTTAGTTATAGTATGTAAAATAGTAAATATGAAACCGAGTGCGGTAGGCGGAGGCATAATCAACTTCCGTTAGTTCTGGTCAATGGTATCGGAAACATGCCGCTGATAGCGTCATTTTCCAAAAAATGGGGAATGTGTCCATGGGACACAGATGATGCTCCTGCTTGCATATAGCATTATAAAGGGACATAACCAAAGAACGGTAAAAGTGACACTACCCAAATTCGTACTTGATCTGAGTCTTGTAGTAATAAGCATTATGTATAAGTTTCATAACATTTGGTTGAGGCAAACTAGAGTTAGAGAACGGAAATTTTGGGATGTACGGATGTACAGACGGACAAGGCTTTAAACTCAATGCTCCCTCCGCTATGGCAGGGGCATAAAAACTCTATCAGGAGATATTAATCACATGAAAAGGGAGATAATTCTGTTAGATATCCAAATACACTACAATCTACAAAAAAGACTTACTCTGTGTCCATAGCTGAACCTGGCTTCAGGAGAGAGTTTATTCTGTTAACTATCCAACTAAATAATCTACCATACAATGCTTTAGCCATGGCATCTCTAGCATCAAAAGCTTCTGGTACTGAATTGTCCCGAATAATGACCTCTCCTCTTGCAACAACAGCTGATGTGGTAAAGGCCTCCACAAGGTCATTCTTGTTTATACCTAACAGCTCAGATACTGTAATATTAATGAGAAAGTACTGTAAAGTGGTTTAATTTAGTGGGGTTCAAATTTCAAGATTTTTACTTTTATCTTGTTTTTGATTGCTGGTATGAACTTTCATGAAGATGAAATTTAAGAAAGGGAAAATTTCACGTTTTTATGTTAATAGTGAAATTTGCAAGAAGAGAATTTTTTTATTCCCCCAAAATCAGTACATAACAAATTTTATTGAGTTTTATAAAATTAGTGAAAATCATACACATTGTGAGTTTTTATGATATATATGGGTCATAAAAGTCGACTTAAAATTTATTTCAGTGTATTTTGTACATTATGTATTTCTGATTAAATGCATACCTCTAATGTCATAATTCAAATTCAAATTTTTTTTTTCTTCATTTTTTATTGTAATACTTCAATTAATCAATCAATTGCCAAGGATGAATCATTTTTGCAATTTATTAATTTATCTCCATCATTGAAGAAACCTTTTAGTTTCTCTATCAATATGCAATGTTATATCCAACAAGTGAAACTGTGAGCTAATGCTCACTGATGATACCCCCGCCCAAATACTTGACGGTAAACAGGAAGTTGTTGAGTGATGAATCTGAAAAAGCATCACACAGTATAGCTGTCTTATATAAACCCTGAAACCAAATTTCAGAAATCCTTATGATGTAGTTCCTGAGAAAAATGCGACGAAAATATTCATGGGACGGACAGACAGATGGATGGACAGACAAGAGTTAAAACAGTATACCCCCCTTTTTTAAAGCGGGGGTATAATTAAATATCATAACAACTTACCATAGTCAATCAAATACATATTTGTGATGACACATGCTTCCCCTCCGTGAGTAGAATCTTTCTCATCAAAGTCAACATTACCCGTATGTAAAATGGAAGCTATTATACCATATACCGATTTTACTTCCTGAAAAGGTCAAATGTAAAGATGATTGGAAACCTTTATACTTATTATTATTTAGGGTTAAACAACAGACATTTAACAAATTAAATTTGATGCTTGGAAACATTTTCACTAATTGTTATTATGAAAAGGTTTCGAAGCATCAGATTTGGTTAATGTCTGTCGACTAACCCTAAATAATATAAGTGAAAAGGTTTCAAGGCATAAGATTTGGTTAATGTCTGTCGACTAACCCTCAATATTAATATGTGAAAAGGTTTTCCAATCATTTTTATGGGCAAACTAGATCCTTGCATCCTTAAACTGACAAGGTCATTATGCCCATTTTACAAATTTCAAGGTCATTGAGTCTGCTTTACATTTGTTCATGTACTTGTCCATATTCTTATGCAGCCCTACCTACAGAAACAGATTTCTTTTATCATTTATCACATATATCTTATCCATGATGTAGAACTGATTTCAATCAAAATATTCATCCTTTTGCTCATTGTACTGACTTAAATTTTATGCCCAACAAACGCAAAAATTATGTAATATAACGACTTCTAAGACCAAATACTTTAACAGAATAATAAGGAGTAAGATAGAACACTTCAAGTACTTTTTGTCTTTTCACAGTTGTAAGTTTTACCAATAAAAATGCAAAATTTCTATGCTCTTAAGTTTTTACAATTTGCAAAAGTTTGTACTTTGAATATTGATAGAGTTAATGACAGAAATGATCTTATACAAGCTAAGTTTGGTTGAATAACACGAGGTACCTGGTTAAGACATCATAACAGCTTATAAAAACAAGAATCTAATGCCTTCACATAACCTGGTTAAATCAGATATAAAATATACCTCAGGCTGGAAGCCTATAATATCAAAACAGTGTTGTATGCCCTTGAACTTGACCCTGTTTACGGATATGGAAGCTACATCTCTGGTACGGCTTGTGTATTCATCTATATATCTGTGAAAAGAACATTAGATATGGTAATCTGTTTACACTTTCTGTTATGTTCCATATAAAAAAAACTTAAAAGCCACGACTAACAGAATCTGACAATGGCACAATATATGTTTTAACACAAAATGTTATCAATTGATTTTTAAAAATGTGTTATTTGATGCAATGCAAATTTACTTCAAATTTACCTGGGGAAGGCCCTATATTCAAACACTTCTTTGCTGCATACAGATCAGGTTTGTTTCAACTTTCTCTTCCATTTTACTTTGTAAAATTGTAAGTTCATGTCTAGTTAGTTACCTCAAGGGAAATAACTCTATTTTCATTGTTTTAAGAATACTGAAAAAAATATTTTTATGACAGTGACATTAAAATTTGATTTGATAAGAATTATACTACTGACCTGTATTTGGCACTGTCTTTTAAATGGTATGTAGCTTCCTGGTCATGGGCCAGTCCATCATGTACATAGTAAAATATATGGAAATTTTGTTCACCTCTGAAATTCACAATATTATACAATTACATTCAAAGAGAAATTTATACCCGATCTGACAAGTTCCTGGATACAAATGTCATGTCTCGGCTTTCCCTATAAAATACTGTGTGGTTAGGGAAGAAATGGCTAGTATCAACTTCAACATCCTAGTTTGAACCAATGACATACAATTATCAATATCTCTTCTTTTAAATACAATAAACAAGAATGATGATATTGTTGGGCTAAGCATATCCCCATTCATAATTCAAAGATTTGGAAAACAGGAGATATGTTTCTGATAGGCCTAAAAAGTCTGATCAGTAATATTGGAGAAATATGTGACAAAACATTTCAATTCATTCAACATATTGAAAAAATTGAAGTATCTGCAAAAAGTGCTCACATCATACAACTCACAACTGTCAATCAGTGAAGTCATCCTGTTCATTAGTTTATCAGAAAAAAGTGAAAAAATATTTAATGGACAAACAGATAGAATGACGAAACGATGCAAAGATGAATAGACGGACAGAAAGACACGGTGACTCCAATATAGGAGTTGGGGTATAATATTATTATTTTTATCTAACCTCTCTGTCAATAAAACTTACTTGGCTTGTGATATCACCCTGGATTTCTCTAATAAATATTCTGTAATTTTAGCTGAAAAGAGGAATAAAAGATATGTTTAACCATTTTTATAAATGAAGAATTATTCATTCAGATATTTATTTTTGATATCACATTCTATAAAACCTTCATTTAATTACACACAACAGAGGACACATGAAATGCAATATAGAAAAGATTTTTATACATTAAGTAATCAATAGGAAATAGTAAACCATAAAGCATGATCGACAATTATTTCGTCAATTGACAATTTTTCAAACCAAAGATTCCGTGAATTTTATGTAAAGTCTACCAAACACAGAGAATAACTTGAAAAAACTAATTTACAAAACTTGACATGATAATATACATGTGCTGCCAAGAATTTCCTGTAATTTTTTTTTTAAATAAAATAAAATAGCCAATTCAAATATTTTCTAAATTTCAGTGTAACATAGTTTGGTCTCTGGTGAAAATTGTCTCATTGGTAATCATACCAAATCTCCTTACTTTTATACTGAAGAGTTATATCCCAAATGAAACTTATGCAATTCCACACTCCCCCTAATTACAGTTGTACAAGATACATACCACCAATAACTGTCCCAGTACTTGTGAAGAACATCTCTAGATACTTCCCAAATCTACTGGAATTATTATTTATCACAGTTTGAGCATTACCAAACGCCTCCATCAATGGATTTACTTGTAAAATTCTATCTTCTAATGTCCGGTTAGGGGCCTGTCAAAAATAATTTAAGATTTTAATATTAAATGCTGTTTTGCTTTACAGTCAACTCCCATTATGTAAACCTGATCAATAAAATGCAAAATCTGGAGTACGTGTACCTATAATTTGTACAATACAGTGCTTGTGGTGAATAAATTTTTTATCTAAATGTGACCATTATGAAAAATCCAGGTTGGAGTCCAGCATTGCAGACAGACTAGCTCACACAGTTACAGACCACTAGAACATATGTTCCACGAACTTAACACATTACTGTGGATTTATTTATTTTCGTGGATTTAGGAAAACTTACATGTTCGTGGATATTTAATTTCGTGGTTTTGCCGAAATCTGCATACAAGCCTATAGAAGTTTTGTTATTCGTTGAACATTTAATTTCGAGGTTCACCTGTATCCACGAATTCCACGAAAATTGGTATCCAACGAATAATAATGAATCCACAGTATTCTAAATCAGACGGGTCTTAAGCAACAAATTTCTGTTTTAAATTGATTGTTTTTTTGTTTGATCAGTTAAGTTGAACCAATGTCCCCTTCTACACTCTATCCAAGCATGCTTCCATGTGGATTGTGATTGTTGGTCACATCGTGTAATACAACATACCTTCCCTAACTGTGTTAGCTGCTGCACTAGTAAGTTAGCACTCTCTGTTTTCCCAGCACCAGATTCACCACTGATTACAATACACTAAAAATATATATATTATTTCTTATATTGTATAAATGTCAAAAGTACTATTAGGCAGCTAGCTTTAAACTAGATGTGACATGGCAGCTTGAATCCCAATGTCTGCTGCAAATTTCAAGGGCATTAATTTTATCTAAAAATGTCATCCGAAAAGAAATATGAACTTGATTTGTAACTCAGCATTATATACTTATAAAGCAAACATTTATAATAGCTTAATATCTTCAAACGTAAAATGATTTAGCAATAACATAATGACAGATTGATGGGAGGACAGTCATTAGTACCACTTTATGGCATGCTCATTAGGAGACAGTGGCATAAAAAAATTCTCAACAACAGTTCTGTTTAAAGACTATTTGTAAATAAACTGCTTCGCTGAGCGCAGCTGGATACGCCCGCAGAGGTCATGCAAACCCTGAACAATTGGGGTAAAAATGGACACAATATTCAAGCTTGATACAGGTCTGAATTTGGATTGTAATTAAATATTTGACATATTATAGATTTCTGAATAAATGTAGTCAAAGAACTTGAAATTGGTTATATGGATTGAATTTATCTTCAATTAACGATTTCTTGCTGTTGTGCAATACTTAGTAAATCTGTTGTCAGACTATAAACAAATAAAGTTCAATTTCTTCTCAATGTCATATTTGAAATTTATGAAAATCAATAAGGAGAATTACATCAATAGCTATAAATAATTTACCAAAGTTTCATGAGAACTGCTGAAAGCATTTTTGAGTTATTGTCCAAAAACTGGAAAATCCCCCCTTTTTTAATGAATAAAACCCCATAACTCAGAAATGTAAAATCTAAAATTTATAAAATTCCAAAGGCAGCTTACATCAACAGATATCAACAATTCACCACAGTTTCATGAGAACTGCTGAAAGCATTTTTTAGTTATTGTCGGAAAACATAAAACCCTGTAACTCGGAAACGTAAAATCTAAAATTTATAAAAATTGAAAGGGAGCTCATGTCAATAGATATAAACAATTCACCAAAATTCCATGCAAGTTGGTGAAAGCATTCTTAAGTTATTGTCGGAAAACTGGAAAATCCCCCCTTTTTTAATGAATAAAACCCCAAAACTCGGAAACAGTAAATCTGAAATTTATAAAAAACGAAAGGGAGCTCACGTCAATAGATATAAACAATTCACCAAAGTTTCATGCATATTGGTTAAAGCTTTTTTGAGTTAATGTCCGACATGTTGACGACGGACGGACGGACGGACAGACGGACGGACAGACGGACGGACAGACAGATGGTCAACGGTATACCATAAAACGTCCCGTAAACGGGCGTATAAAAATCATTGCATATTAAAATATTATTTTGTTTTATCAATTTTACGATTTTGGAGAGAAACAAAGCCAGGAAATATTTATAACAGTCAGTAATTCTCTTTCCCCTAAAATCGTTATATAATCCTGTGAAAAGTACGGGGAAGTAACTGACCTGATGTTTTCTGTTGTGCATCATCATTTGATATGACTGGTCAGCGACTGCAAAAATATGAGGTGGATGGTCATCTTTGGCTGCATTCATGTACATCTGAGCATACTGTAAAATTGGAAAATATTTCATGTATATACATAAATTGTGAATTTGAATGTCATATTGTCATATGTATATTATCCTTCTTTGTACTGGACTGAAACACAGAGTTTGATTTGCATGTGTTAGCTCACAGGGTAACAGTCTAGAGGAAGCTGTGATGATGTTATTCTAATGGTACACATTATTCTGACTTTAAGTCAACCAGTACCAGCTCTTTATATTCCTAAATGTATTGTACCATGCAGAGGCAAAATGTAACATTTTGTAAGAATTGAATGCTTCTCTTTTTAATTTTATTGGGGTGTAAAAAAAACTCATTGACTGAAGCACATTTGTTTTACAACCCCATAAAATTATAAAAAGAAGCATTCAATTCTTATAATTACATTTTTATGCTCAAACAATGAAATTAAGAGTTATATCAAGCAAAAATTTTTGTTTGTTTTTTTCTATGCATTGTTTTAACATTGTCATGGAGAACATGTGCAGTATTAGCAATTATATTTTATATATAGGAGTGCCTCATAATTGTGGTCAGCCAATAAAAAATATGGATTCAAATGAAACATACATGTTATGTTATTATGTTGTTGAATACAAAACTTTCTTGAATTACTGTGGAAAGGGAGACAACCAAAGCTTTGCTAAGATTTTAACCATTTATCTGTAAACTATTTTTGATGAATTTTAAATTGTATTTTTTTTTTGTACCACTCTTTTCATGTTTTATTCTGTAAATAGATCTAAATTCATCTACTGATGCACTGTCCTTTATAGAAATCATACCATCAATGAGCTCTTAATTGGTACAATAAAAAAATTGTACATTTATGCATCCTATTGAATTGTAATGTTTTGTCAATATGATATTTATTATGTATGTATAGATCTTTTAATGGATTATGATATAGGATCCCATTGAGTTGTATGGTGTGTCAGCCGCATAATGAAGATGATAATAATAGTAATAATGTCTATTGTGTGATGAGCGCTAATAATATCTATTATGTATGTATAGATCTTTATAAGGGTAATCATATATAAACAAGAATGTGTCCATAGTACATGGATGCCCCACTCGCACTATCATTTTCTATGTTCAGTGGACTGTGAAATTGGGGTAAAAACTCTAATTTGGCATTAAAATTAGAAAGATCATATCATAGGGAACATGTGTACTAAGTTTCAAGTTGATTGGACTTCAACTTCATCAAAAACTACCTTGACCAAAAACTTTAACCTGAAAAACTGTAACCTGAATCGGTACAGATGGACGGACGAATGAATGGACGCACAGACCGAAAAACATAATGCCGCTAGGTGGGGCATAAAAAGAATATTTTCTGAAACATACCTCATCAGCATAGATAGTGAGAGGAGTAAATGGGTTTACAGCTAACAATATGTCTCCAATGTAGGTATAAATCTTTGTCTGTGCATATCTGTGAAATAGTTGTGATACAATTGTTTCCTGAAATGACAAAATGGTATTTTTTCATTACTTTTTACTTTCTGATTTAAACAGTGCATGCCATGCAATTACTTACAGCATATTTTCATTTTCAACACTTCTATTATTTACTATTTGGGATCCCTTATTTCTGAATACAAAATAAAAATAAAATGCTCCGCAGGGCGCAGCTTGATACGACCGCAGAGGTCAAACCCTGAACAGTTGGGGCAAGTATGGACACAACATTCAAGCTTGATACAGCTTTGCATTTGGATTGTGATTAAATATTTGACACAGCATAGGTTTCTGACACAGAATGAATGTGGTCTAAGAACTTAATAATTTTTAATTAGACATTCACCTATTATGGTCCAATATCCAAAATCTAAATACATGGTTAGATTCAGCATATCAAAGAACCCCAAGAATTCAATTTTTGATGAAATCAAACAAAGTTTAATTTTGGACCCTTTTGACCTCAATGTGGACAAAGTTGATAACGGGGCCCAAAAATCAAAAATCTAAATACATGGTTAGATTCAGCATATCAAAGAAACCCATATATTCAATTTTTATTGAAATCAAACAAAGTTTAATTTTGGACCCCAATTTGGACCAACTTGAAAACTGGGCCCATAATCAAAAATCTAAATACATGTTTAGATTCAGCATATCAAAGAACCCTAAGAATTCAATTTTTGTTAAAATCAAACTAAGTTTAATTTTGGACCCTTTGGACCTTAATGTAGACCAATTTGAAAACGGAACCAAAAATTAAGAATCTAAATACACGGTTAGATTCGGCATATCAAAGAACCCCAATAATTCAATTTTTGATGAAATCAAACAAAGTTTAATTTTGGACCCTTTGGACCTCAATGTGGACCAATTTAAAAACGGGGCCCAAAATCCAAAAACTTAATACACAGTTAGATTCAGCATATTAAAGAACCCCAAGAATTCAAGAATAAAACCCCATTGAAATTGGTCAAGAAATAAGCAATTTATAGGAAGTATCTTCTTTTGCACAATACTGTGCAATTGAATATTTCTTGCTATTGCGCAATACTGTACAATTGACAATTTCTTGCTATTGCGCAATATTGTGCTATTGGATATTTCTTGCTATTGCACAATACTGTGAAATTGAAGATTTCTTGCTATTGCACAATACTGTGCAATTGAAGATTTCTTGCTATTGTGCAATACTGTGCAATTGAAAATTTCTTGCTATTGCACAATACTTATTATATAAAAACTTACACATCCTGTTTGGTGTGTATCTCCTACCATATCATTATTATTTGCTTTTAAATATAAATCAGAAATAACCAACTTAAAATGGAAAATTTTAAAAGAAAAAAAAAAGGAAAAAAAGAAAAAAAAGGAAAAAAAAAAATCCCCCCCCCAAATTTTTTGAACCCCCTTATGATTCATCACCCCCAAACTCAATCCCAGCCTTTCCTTTGTGGTATGGTACCTTGCAGTACAATTTCAGAGAGATCCATACACTTGAACACAAGTTATTGTCATGAAACTAGAAAAATGCTTGTTTTTTGCTCCTTTTCTGCCCCTAATTCCTAAAATATTGAGGCAATTACCCCCATCATCAATCCCAGCCTTCCCTTTGTGGTATGGTACCTTGCAGTACAATTTCAGAGAGATCCATACACTTGAACACAAGTTATTGTCTGGAAACTAGAAAAATGCTTATTTTTGGCCCCTTTTTGGCCCCCAATTCCTAAACGTTTCGGCAATTACCCCCAAACTCAATTCCAGCTTTCCCTTTGTGATATGGAACCTTGTAGTACAATTTCAGAAAGATCCATACACTTGCACACAAGTTATTGTCATGAAACTAGAAAAATGCTTGTTTTTTGCCCCTTTTTTGGCCCCTAATTCCTAAAATTTTGAGGCAATTACCCCCAAAATCAATCCCAGCATTCCTTTTGTGATATGGAACCTTGTGGTACAATGTCAGAGAGATCCATACACTAACACACAAGTTATGTCTGGAAGTTACAAAAATGCTTATTTTTGGCCCCTAATTCCTTAACTGTTGGTACCATAACCCCCAAAATCAATCCCAACCTTCCTTTTGTGGTATTGAACCTTGTGGTAAAATTTCATAGAGATCCATTCACTTAAACTAAAGTTAGAGTGCGAAAACCAATGTGTCTTCGGACGACGCAGGACGACGCTGGACGACGACGACAACGACGACGTCATACCAATATACGACCACAAAAATTTTTTTGCGGTCGTATAATTAGTACACAAAGAGTTTTTTCTTAATTTATTCAATATAATTAAATTAAACAATTCAGAGTAATTTTTACAGTAAATTTATCATTTAAACGCTCAGTTTATGATAGAACCATGCCAAAGGATTATTATTGGGTCCACATGACATGTCAACTAAATGTAATGAAAGTTTGCACATAATGTTATGATAGTCATTGCAAAAATAATTTTAACTTTAAAATTTGATTTATGCTATTTTAGATTTTGCAGTGCCATCTACTGGCAAAGGCAAAATTTTCTAAATTTTCCACTAAAATGTCACATTTCTGTTGTTCGGAATATCCTAGATACAGTTATGTTCAGCTGATATTTGAATTGATTTTTACAATAAAAAAGTGACAAAATGTTGCTAGGTTCATCTTAGCATTACCTTCTTTGCAAGTGAGTTACCACCCTTCCTTTCATATGAGTAACCTCCCTTACCTCGTCTAGAATTTCCAATGACGTTAGATCATCAGCAGTGTCTAGAGGTTCTTTCTTTGATTTGCGATGTGTTTTTAATCTCCCCTTCTTTGTTGTGATGTCTGGTTCATGGATTTTAGGTTCCATTTTGGCTGTCAGATCTTTTAATCTGTGTTTAAACTGAAAGTACAATTATCATATTTTTATATAAAATATCACAGTCAATTTTCTAAGTTTACAATTTTTTTAGCCACCGTTATTTTTCACAGTAAATTTTCTCAGTTCACATAGTTTTAAGCCCACCGTGATAAATCACTTTATGGAGCTGAAGAGAAATACAAAATACTATAGGATGGAAATCTAGGTCACAGTGACCAACTTTGTTTGGGCTGACCGTAGTCAGATCTCATCAAATCTAATACTTCCTTCAACTTAAAGAATCAGTGTTTTAAAATCACAATGAAGACTGCATGTATCTTAACATAGCCACATATTCCTGTGCTTGTCCCAAAGTCAGGAACCTTGTGGTTGTCTTTTGTAATATCTAAATGAGTTTGTGATTTAGCCAGCTATGATTAATGGCAGAAATTTGATGATGTCTGTGAAATTTAGTCCCAACTTTTCTAGACCCTGGGCGATTTAAAGAATAACATATTGTACTGATATCTTTATATTAAAGAGTGATTGTTGCTCATCTTGATTTTGTGTGGTTGGATTTCCATCTCATTAACTAATATCCCACAACTCATATAGTATGTGCATTTGCTGATGGCTGTACGTTGACCTAAGTTGTTTTCGTCCACATCAATTGGACTCTTGTGGATAGTTGTCTACTTAGCAATCATACCACAACTCTTTATTTTCATATTCATAAAGGATTTGACTTACAACAGAAGAATCTGCAGGCAAACTGGTAATAAATGGATGCTGTAGTAATTCTTTGGCTGAGGGACGCTCTTCAAAATCTTTTACCAAACACCTGCAAGAAAGAAGAAAAAAAAATGTACTCTATGAATACACTAAGTACTGTTTGTTTGTTATTATACATATATCATATCTATTTTTTTTTAGAGTGTAGGAATTAGGGGTATATGTAAATGAGACAGCAACCCAGGGAAACAAATAACAAAAAAATCATCTAGAGCTAGAGGATAACATACAGACAAGACAAGACAAGACAAGACAAGACAAGACAAGACAAGACAAGACAAGACAAGACAAGATCTTAATCATCATCATAGTCTGAAGAAATTGTGAAAAGATTAAACAGGAACTATCATGGATCTACCATGTGGGGATTGGGATGTTGAATAACTGTTGCAATGACGCCTATAGGGGTCAATAGGTGCATCATTTCTGCCCGTATCTAATATACCCTCATTTTTCAAAAAGTTGAAATTCCCACCTATCATCAGGATTCTTTCACTTTAAGAACCTACCTACTGGATTTATAAATTTAGTCCTGAATATGCATGAAATACCACTGGACGCAAGGCTATAAAGAATGAAATACATCTTGTATTGAGTCAATTCTTTGTCACTTATATACTCATGGATAGGTATTTATAGTCTACTTTACAATGTAAAAGAATCGGTAATTAATTACCCCTATTTGAAAATTTTCATTCTGTACAGGGATACCTCAGGCTTAGTTAGATCTAAAGATATTTATTAACAATGATGAATTGAACATTTGTTATCAAAATCTTAGTTTAAAGTGTTGATTTTATACAATGGTTCTTCCTAGTACGTAAACTTTTCCTGTAACTATTGACTTTTCTTTGCTTGTGAGAAGTCATTATTATCTATAGGATAAACCCATTTTCATGGATTTTATAGATAGATGGAAACCATTTGAATATTTGACGAATAACATGTTTTCAGTTACAAGCAATGAGCATGGATTTAGGGACAATAACGGTCTCCTCTATACAATCTATAAATCAGGGTTTCCAAAAGTGTCTAGGGTTATCAAAGGCATTCTCCATAACATTCCTCTATTTTTTAGGACAGTATCCGGAGGACATGTACTGTTTATTTATCTTCGAAGGCACTAATTTTTGTGATTGAAGAAAAATCGTATTTTCATGGATATTTGATTTCTTGGCTGTGCTAAAGTCTTAGCTTACAAACCTATATATAATTTGTAATTTATTAATCCATGAAAGTTGGTATCCTACGATATATAATGACTCCACAGTAACAAGCTATCAAATGTAAAATTTTAAAGTAACAAAAATACTGAACTCCAAGGAAAATTCAAAATGGAAAGTCCCTTGTCAAATGGCAAAATCAAAACCTCAAACACATCAAACAAATGGAAAACAACTGTCATATTCCTGACTTGGTACAGGCATATAATAATCTCAGGGTTTATCTAGGATTTTAGCAAGTTTCACTTATTATAAAGGCACTTCATGGCCTTAAACGACTAAAACGAAAATTCAAAGCAAATTCCTGTTTAAAGATAAGTCAGAACCTTGTAAAAATAATTTTTACTGTACTCACTGATGGATAAAGTCTTTGAAGTTCTGTGACCACTTCTCTGGTAGTTGTAGACTTGGCGATGTATTTCTGTAAAACAAAATTTTAGAAAATTTGAAGGACAACACGAATATAACCCTAGATCACGCCATTTCAATTTAGTTGTTCCTAAAGTAAACAGAGCGGACTCAACATCTTTTTTCTTAATACTATTAAAGATTAGAATGAGCTTCCAAATAATATAAAATCACTACATGACCAGAATGCGCATTCAAAGCTGCAGTAAAGCAACATCTGAAAAATATTATTATCATTTTATTAATGTGAATATTGTGACTGGTTGAGTATCACAATAATAAGAACTTGTATTCTGATACCTGATACATTGGATTCATGATTTACCTATAACAACAAAAATCCACAAAAATTGATATTCCACAAATAATAATGAATCCACAGGAGTTCTCTTTTGAAATCACTTATGATGTTTATTGTCCAGTTTCAAATTAAATGCATATTTAGGTCAATAATATGTTATTGAAATATGAATATATATGTGCTTGACCAACAAGCTGAACTGAATTTTTAACATGCTAGATCACAAGTCTGCAAGAAGACATGTTTCACATTATTCTGAATCTAAGCCTACTAGTCTGTTCTCTTACTCCTTAGTGCAGCATACTAAGTTAAGAAACAGCAAATACCAATTTTCGATTTTAAAACTTCCAGTACCTAAGGCAAGCATACTACCACAAAACCACAGAGGCTGTTGATCACATTTGGTATCAAATAAAATATTTAACTAGATGAAGGCATATGTACATATGCTCAACACCAAAACCAATGCTCATTTTACATGATCAACACAACGGGTGCCACATGTGGAGCAGGATCTGATTACAGGAGCACCTGAGATCCCCCCTGTTTTTTGTGGGGTTCGTGTTGCTCAGTCTTTAGTTTTCTATGTTGTGTTTTGTGTACTGTTTTTTAGTCTTTCGCCTTTTTTCGTATTTGCCATGGCATTATCAGTTTGTTTTTGACCTATGAATTTGAATATCCCTTTGGTATCTTTCGTCTCTCTCTACAAAAAATCATTTCTAAATGTAAAAATCTCTTGCAATTACCCACTACTAGGTACTTACATGAAACATTTATAAATTCTAAATACCAGCTAACCTCAGGGTTAAATTGACCTACTATTTGTATAAGAAGCAGTCATAAAATATTAATTCTGATTAAGATTTAGTGTATATAAACAGTAAAAAGCCGTGCCCTAATGTAAATACCGAATTAAAAAGTAAATAAGATTATGTAATCAATAGTCATCATATACCGGTTTAGATTACGGAAAAATCAATTTAATCTAATCAAAACGGATATTACATGAGGGTGTAGATGATTGCACTCATTCCCAAAAGTAAAAACGGAATGTTGGAGAAAATATTTGGTTTTGTTAATGGTGATTGATGATGTCGGAAAGTCAGGTGCTTCAGGGAAATAAATACCCTTCAGCTGGTGTGAATTTTATCAATTCTATTTGCACACAAGGACAGACCACCTCTTCCATCTCCAATTCAACCAAATATTTATATATTGAAAAATGGAATTCAAAAGCTTTAATAATTAATCCTATGTATATAAGGTTTAATTCATAAGATGGCAGAAAAGAATTGGCATGTACATTCTAAAGGATAGGCACAACAGGAAGAAAGATTAGCAGTGGACCAGCCACCCAGGCTACTAATTTTTGCTCAAATTGTCCATAGTGCTTATTATAATTTTTCAGATTGTAGCAGGTTTGGGGCTTTGGGCGCTAGATGGAAAATGTTAGTCTTTTATCCTGCACATGGAACTTTCAAGTTCCTATAGAAAGTTTACCTTGGAATTTTAAACAATGCTCTCATAGGATGGAGATCTGATAGTGGTGGTTCACTTTCTGCCAACTCTATGGCAGTGATACCGAGGGACCAAATATCACACCGACTGTCATAGTTATATTCTAACTGTCTTTCGCATGCTATCACCTGAAAATAGAAAAAGAAAATTTTCTGTAAGATTTGCTAACTACATAGCCATTCATTTTTGATGCATTATGATTCATGGGATACCAATTTTTGTGGATTTTGTGGACACAATGGTGAATCACAAATTTAAAGGTTTATAACTAGGAACTAATTTTCTAAAGGCTTGTATGCAGACTCAAATCCACGAAAATTGATACCCACCAAAAAATAAATGCATCCACAGTATTCAAGTAGACAAGTCATGTAATAAAACAAGAATGTGTCCATAATACACGGATGCCCCACTCGCACTATCATTTTCTATGTTCAGTGGACCCTGAAATTGGGGTCAAACTCTAATTTGGCATTAAAATTGGAAAGATCATATCATAGGGAACATGTGTACTAACTTTCAAGTTGATTGGACTTCAACTTCATCAAAATCTACCTTGACCAAAAACTTTAACCTGAAGCAGGACAGACGCATTTTCTATATTCAGTGGACCGTGAAATTGGGGTCAAAACTCTAATTTGGCATTAAAATTAGAAAGATCATATCATATAGAACATGTGTACTTAAAGTTTCAAGTTGATTGGACTTCAACTTCATCAAAAACTGCCTTGACCAAAAACTTTAACCTGAAGTGGGACAGATGCATTTTCTATATTCAGTGGACCATGAAATTGGGGTCAAAACTCTAATTTGGCATTAAAATTAGAAAGATCATATCATAGGGAACATGTGTACTAAGTTTCAAGTTGATTGGACTTCAACTTCATCAAAAACTACCTTGACCAAAACCTTTAGCCTGAAGTGGGACAGACGGACGGACGGACGGAGGGTCGAACAAACGAACAAACGGACGCACAGACCGAAAAACATAATGCCCCTAGGTGGGGCATAAAAACCCAAAATTATAGGAAAGTTTGGGTTATGTCAAAATCCAGAAAACTTCTTCATTGCACATGCCTTTAAGACTTTATAAAAGTTATTCAAGATTCTGTATCCGTGTCTTCTTTCAGAGTCATTGAAGTTACCACTATACAAATTCCTGTGTTATATAAGGGTTACAGTATTTGAGGAATTAATTGTTCTCTTGCACTTGTGTAATGTATGCACATGAAGATGTATGAATTATTAGCGCCAAAAATTTAGTTGTAAAGTGATGACACACTGGTTGCCTTAACTTGTACCCAATATCTATGATTAAGGACAAATTTCTGGATTTACTGAAGTTCTAAAAAGAGAGAGATTAAAACACCAAGGGAGCAATAGAAAAAACGTAAGTTAAAGAAAAACCACATCTTCTTATATCTGTCTAGAACTATCTTTTTATAGAAAATATTTAACTAATCATAGGAGTCGGATATTTATATGTTTATAAAAATATTTAGTTGTTTTTGGACAATATTTTGAATAAATTGATAAAATAAGTCCTGTTAACAAATATATAGATGTTGGTGTCAATTTCAAGCAGTTCTTTACATATCCTAATTTTGAAAACACATATACATAGTACGTCTAGTACATGTATATGTCCAATACATGTCCATTACAAGTATCTGATTACAAACTTATACACTTCAAGCTTATATTAAACTATATAAATATTTGTAAGACCTCATGAAAATATTTATAACTTTAAAAGATGTTTAAGAAAAACAAATATATTAATAACAGAATATATTTAAACTTATAGATGAAGTGTGAAGTCAGTTTATGGGATTGTGAACATATCTACATTTCAAAATTTTATATGCATGATCACAACTTTAGGGTTTTTGTGTCTGGTTTAATACAAAAGTGGTTTTATTTGCAACAGTTTGATTAATATTGTGTCTCGAAATATTAAATCTTTTCTGTGAGCCATTATCTTTTTCAATACATGTAAGGAGAATTCATATGAGGGCTAGTCACTGATGGCCTAGCTGGGTGTATATATTATATACACCCAGCTAGGCCATCATAGACACCAGTGACTAGCCATATTATATGTATTTTAACAAGATTTGGCAGAATTTCTGAAAATCAATACAATTATACTTATGCAACAAACCAAAACTCAATCGACAGCAATGTATGTATTCAATATGTTACAACAAATTTAACATATTTAATGTGCAGTTATGTGTGCAGTAGTTTTATATTTGTGTTCTGAAACAGGTGTTTTCATATGATTTGTCTTGCTACACTAAAATGTATTTAATGTCTTTTCATTCAATAACTTATATGAAAATTTATATGGCAGAAGTTTCATTATTGTTTTCTGTTATGAAATATCCATTTATTATTTCCTTTTTGATCAACGCAACTAAAACTTATATCTTATGCATACATTTCTGTAAATATTTCATTGTTACTATTAATATATCTTATTTCATTGTGTTGAAATGCTCATTTATCAATATTCTCTTTTTAATCAAGATAATATGTTAGACCTAAATTGCTTGAAAAATTTCATGGTTACCATCTATAAAAGTAAAGTAATCAATTCAATAATATGCAGTAGACATATAGATTTATTAGATATTTTACAAAAAAAAATAATTAAAACAAATTTTGGTGGCATCTGTAAACTTCAAAGAACACATACTGCAGTTATTATATAATTATATAATAATATTAACATTATTACATCAAAGTATCATACAAGTCACTAATTCTGATTGGCCTATAAGCATTCCAAAAGTTTTTTTCTGTATAAAATGCATCATCTATGACTGCACTTGGTCACTGTGAGGTTAAAAAAATGCATAGAAAAACAAACGAAAGGCTTGATTTCAACTCTAGTAATTTAATGGTTGTAACTAAAAATGTGATTATAAGAATTGAATGCTTTTTTATGTAATTTTTTTATAGGGTTGTAAAGTGTGGAACGTGTACACATTTTTTATAAGGGTGCTTAACACCCCAATAAAATTATATAACGGAGCATTCAATTCTAAATAGTATATCTTTAATAATTGAGACTGTCCTGATCACGCCATTGATTTATTAGTACAAATGACCTCTTAAACCATACCATCTATACTCAAATAAAGATCAAGATTGAGAGAGAAAGGGTTGTGATCTCAAACAAATAATTTAACACTGAACATATTCATGTGCTTGTCCCAAATCTGGAACCTCATCACTAGTTGGGCGACGTCATTGTTTAATTGTTTGCTGTTGATGTTTTAAGCCTCTTTCAGCACTTATCATCAATATCTTGGCAGCCTCTTTTAATTGGTGGAGGGAGCCAGAGTGCCCAGAGAGAATGGTGACCATTAGCAGGAAAACAGGCAATTCTAGTCAAATAAGATTGGAATGGAACACACCTGTCATGTGTGCATGATCCAGGGGCTTGAACTCAAAAGCTCATTGACAGGTTAGTGATACATTAAATGATGAACTACTTGGACCACTCAGCCACTGAGGCCCTAGCTGTATCTTATGTCTTATCTTAAAGCTTATGGTGGGGTTCATGTTGCTCAGTCTTTAGTTTTCTATGTTGTGTTTTGTGTACTGTAGTTTGTCTGTTTGTCTTTTTCTTTTTTAGCCATGGCATTGTCCATTTATTTTCGACTTATGAGTTTGAATGTCCCTTTGGTATCTTTCGCCTCTCTTTTATTGTTATTTGGAGAATTTGGTGCAGATTCTGTTTAATTTAATCACAAATTTTTAGTTTTTGGCAATCAATTGAGTTTGACATATTGTATTGACCTTCGACACCTGTCTATTGTTATAGTTATCTAGATTGTCTTTTTTTCGTGATGTCGAGTTGCTGTCTAATTGACGTACAATGTTTACCCCACAACTCCTGTTATTTATATAAATAAGGAAGCTCGATAAAAGTAATTAACCATTCTCAAAATGTCAGGGCATATTCTTAAAGACTCAAATTTAGAATATTGTGTGTGTTACAACTGTTACCACTGTTTCCCTGTATATGTTATTAGCTAGAGCAAAGTAACTGTTACCTAATCTGAGTTACCATGTGCAAAATTTTAATTTTTGGGACTAGAATATAGCAGGGAATAATCACTTGAAAGTAACGAATATTCAAATCATATTTGCCACCAGATGTTAAACATTCATCAATCAATCAATCAATCTATTGATCTTTAAAATTTCATGAAGGAATTGGAATCGATTTCCAAATTTTAATACAGCTTTAATTACCTTCATTGACACAATTTTTAAATCTTTATTATCAAACTTAAAACATATATTAGAAATAAATGTTGAAATTTACTACATGTATTCAAAGTCAAATTAAATCACAGCTGAGAAATTTAAAAACCTAAGATTCCTTTCCTCAAAATTCTTATTTATCTAAATGCATTAGATTTAAGGTTAACAAGTGCTTATCGGGTCGAACTCTTTACGATAAAAATGTGTCAATATTACCTGTAAATATCATACCTTAATTATTAATTATATTCAATCCTTTATAAAACTTTCCATCAAAATTCCATCAGTTTAAAATCCTTATCTTACAAACTCTTTAAATATGCTAATCATATCCTCCTTATGCAAACACTCTTCCAATCCAGTCAAATAAAAACTCCTTAAGACAATTTCACTCTGACTTTATAGAATTATTATGCAAATTACCTGTTATGATGACCATGTATTATTAAATCAATTCCATCTTTGGAAGTATTTTACTAATCTCTGGTAAAAATTGACATAAGATATTGTTATTCACTATGCACAATACTATCTATAGTTCATACTATAGCTTATGTATACAAGTATTTCAAAAACTAAGGCCAAAGAAATAATTTTCGATATTTTCACAAGATTAAATATATTTTTGTTTTCTTATTTCTATATTTCTTGACAAATATGCAATTTTAAAAACATTTCCAACATAACAGACCCTCACAAATTCTCAGACAGTGTGTCAGATATTAAGTCAAGCAGCAACTAAAAAGCAAGTTCTGAAATAAAAATTTGATTATTTCTATAAGACACCTTTCAAATGCCTGATCCAACTGAAATTTTGCCTGTCTAGTCAGAGGTTCAAAAAGATTCC